TAAGCTTGACAGCTATCTGGATTTTGGTCTGAAATTTTCATTGTATAATGTTCAATCTGATTAATGTTTACCACTGAATGAAGTTCATTGGCAAGAAAGGAATTTGTTGAAAAAATATTTTATCATGAGGTTGTGATTTACTGATCTATATACATAGAAAAACATTAGGCAGAAATTGGCTCATTATTATCAATCAAATTCCCTAAAAAGTTTTTCCTTTAATATCTTTAGGTTCTTCTATTTGTATTTTGGTTGAAGATTATCCACCATGTTCTAAACATTTTAGATTACCAAAGAAGAAAAAGAAAATCTTTTATAAATCTTTTATAAATTGTATATTTGTAGATTAAAACGAAGCTCTGGAAATCAAGTTCTATTCTGGCTAGGCATTATTTTTTTTTCTTTTCAGACCTAGATTTTTATGAACTGCTGCTTACTTTGTAACTGTTTTGCCACATATTTTTGCACTGTTAAAAGTAATGAGATTGGATCATTTCATTAGCCTCAACATGTAAGGTCATGCCAAGAATTCTTTCTTTTTGTTTATTTTTTTAATTAAAATATATGCTCAATATCATGGTGGTTGTTGTTTTCTCCCACCCCACTTGATATGTCCACAATCATTTACTTTAAAAGTAGTATCTCAAAACATCTAAAGTACCCACATTCCTTTTTTCTGCTGTGCTTGAATTACTTTAAAAATCTCAAACATTGAAGAGGAAATGAATTGCAAAATAAAGCAAGCCACTACCACTGAATTGTACTTATGCTTCTAAAAATTTTCATGTATTTCATTCACTGTTCACAAGTATTATTGCTGAAATTTCTTTATTAAATTTGTGATTCAATTTAAAGAACAATGTAAGAACAAAAAAGATACAAGAATTGATCAATTCCTGTTTTTTCTTCAATTTCAGCTTGATAGTACTGGTGTTGCAGGAGGTTCTTAAATTGTACAAATTCCAGATTTTGGGAAGCTGAGTGGTCATTATGAAACTATTAGCTGCAGTATAGTGATCTTTGTCTTGTCAAAACAACAGTCAATTTGTACTTCATTGATTGTTAAACATGTTCACTGCCAATATTGATCTTTTTATATAAAAAAAAATTCTAAGAAGCCTCAATATATTACTGTATGCCCATTAATTTTAATGATTTTGATTTCAGTGCATTTTCTTTTAACAGTGACATTTAAGACTTTATTTTATTAGTTTAATGTAATATTAACTATAATTTTGTCTTAATTTCTAATGTGAATAATTCATATACATTAAGCTGTTTGGACAAGTGCTGTCATTTTTGTTGTTATAGTCACAATATTCTTTCACCTCTGTGAATTGTATTCAATTTGAAATTCCTAGGTTACAAGAAAATACAAACACTTAGAATAGACTAGAAGCAGAATTTAACTATAACAACCAAAGTGAACTCTGGTTAGGATAATATATAGTTATTATGTTAACTGTAGTTGAGGAAAATACAATTAACTGATATTGTTTGTGTTGAGGATGAAGGACAATAAAGAGTGTGTGATATATAATCAATTTAGCATAGGTAATATCAACTACATGATAGTGCTTATGTTTGACATCATAATGTTGTTTATTCCATGATTGATAAGGTAGATAGATTTTTTAGGCTTTTTGGTTTTCTTTTTGAGAGTCTGCTTATTTATTTTATTTATTTTATTCATTTTTTTTTTTTTTTTTTAGGACATGTTGCTTTTATTTAGTTATTAAAGAAAAAAAAGAAGCCTCCTGAATCCATTTTTTGAGGCCATTATATATTCATTCATTTTTTACAGTGAATTTTATACAAACCAGGTGCTGAAGAGTCCTTTGCTCAAAAATCTGACAAAATTATCAAATATAAGAATTATTATTTTTTTTTTTTCTTTTTTTAAATTCTTTCATGGTCAGGCCAAGAACTTTTCACCAACCCTTTGTAAAATACAATACTAATTATTCATTTGAATTTTCAAGATAAGTAATTAGTACAATGTAATAATTATTTTAAACATGTGCTTCCTGTTTGTTTTTATCACTACATTTCAACCAATTTACTCTCTGCCCTCTTAATTAAATTTTCCTTCAATTTTTATCCTTGGTACAATGCTTATTTAGTGTAACACAGTTAATCTTTCAAATAATTTTCTCTGTGGAATTATTTTATTCATCTTTATTAAACTTATAAAATAAGACTGCCAGTTCAAATCAATATTTTGCCAAGAATTTTTATATAATTTGAAAACTTCCCACTGGCATGCACATTTCAGCCTTTTTATTTGGTACATAACTTAATATTTTGTAAATATTTAATACCAGTGCATTTAAATTTGGATTTGGTATATACACAGGAATTCACAGTTGAAAGATAAGTATTATTTCTTTTTACTTGATTGTAAAAATATGGATGTTAGTTTTTTTTTTTTTTTTTTTTTTTTTTTTTTTAAAGGAAAATATGCCCTTCTCCCATTGTCTGAATATTTTTTTCAATACAATATTTTCAATGGACAATTTTTTTTATTACAGCCTCCAATAAGGTAGAACATTTCATGTGGATTTTCATTAATTTGTCTTTTCTAGGTAACATATTAAATACATTGGAAGCTTTTGTAATGGTGATGATATATTGTGTAAGTTTTTGCTTGATTTGAACATACAATTACTTGTGGAAAGAATGCCTCATTCTTACAGGATGAAGTCAATTTCATATTTTGTCATTGAGCTTCAGTGCGTTAACAAAAACTTTCATTTTATAAAGGAATTTCATGTTATCATAATGGCAGATCTTCATGAATTATTGTAAAATGTTTTTCTGGTTTAATGCAGTCAAGTGTAAACAGTTTTGTATTCTATGTATTTTTCTTAATGTAGAGCTCATAAGGGAAAACTTTGATTTAGTTGAATTAAAATGGCATTCATTAAGTTTGTTGAAATAATTGATAATGAATTTGATCTCCCATTTTCAACTTTTGCCAGTCATTGTGATCGTGCTGGATGGGTCAGTTGATCCATACATTTCTTTTTTTTTTTTTTTTTTTTTTTTTTTTAAATTTTTGTTTTTTCCTTGTCATTCTCTGCTTGAGTCAGTTTTTTCTCAATTTGATCAAGAAGAGGTCAAGAGCTTAGGTGGATTCTGTACCACTCTATCTTGCTTGCTTGTCTGTCATTTGGGAGTGAGTGCAGGGGCACATGTGAAGGGATACCAGATGCATCTGATACACATCTGATAGTATACTGGATAATATTTCAGTAGGTAAAACAAGGATTATAATAAGAAAATATAGGACTCCCAAATGGGACCTTAGCTAGTAAAGGCTTATTCTGAAATCCATTTTTGCAAGATAAACCTACAAGTACCTGAATATGGTCAGTGAACAGTTTGAAGATTAACATTTTAGTTAGTTTAAGATGAAGTCTAATTGAGGTTCTCTATAATAAGAAATTTGAACATGTTATTAAAAAAAAAAACATTAAAAACTGATCATTCATTCATTCAGATTATAGTTCCAAATTTCTTGATTTGATAAATGTAATCAAGAGTTGACAGCTTTATTAGCCAAACACATAGAAGCAAGTGAAAAGCTTTAAGCTAAAGTGCAATAGTTGAGAAGTCAGTCTTAACATTTCTAAAAGGAAGTGGATGGTGAATAGCAGAATTTTGAAGACACTGTAAAGAACATTTACAGTTTCACCTTTTAAATTGTAGTTGTTGGGGGATAAAAATAAAACCAAATTCCTTTTCACAATCAGCCAACTGCAACTTCCTTAAATAAAAAAAAATATGCTTACAAGCAACAGGTAAAATTGTTAAACCTGGGTTTCTAACCAAACTACTTGTCATTGAACATGCACCACAATATCATGTCTGTTCACATTTAATAAATTGAAATATCAGTGAACAACATTGGAACTGTGTAGTGAAGTGGGGACAAGTAAAATGAATGTTTATTAGAAAAAAGCAGATTATAGAATGTTTACATTGTCTTTTTCTGATAGAATGCAAGGAAATTTGTCTATTCGATTTAAATCTACATATTTAACTTTCTATGATTGTGCCAGTTCTCTGTTGTTACAATTTAAATTATTTTCTTTTACTGACAAGTCAATCTATTTCCACAGCTCCAGATAAATATTTGAATCTGGTAGAACCTATTGGATGCAATTGTTTTTTGTAACCAACATCCAGCCATTATTGTCACATAAACATTTGGCCCTAAGCAAACGGAACAGTGGCGAGGGTAATGGAATAGTTTTGTGATTAATGACACTGTATTTTGAAATTTGTTCCTAGAAGAATCGATGTCTCTCTTGACATGACTGAGTGAATTTTATTTTAGTTTTGAGTAGTTACTCTACAAATAAAATATTTAACCAGAATAGCTTGTTCCATTTTTTTTTCCTTTTAGGTTTAAGTGAGAGAGTGTGTGTGTGTGTGTGTATGGGAGGGACTAAACATAAGTGACTGTATATTTCTGGTAAAGATAAAATGTGCAAAATTGAGTGTAAGGGTCTATCTCTCTCACACACACATATTCATATATATATATATATATATATATATATATATATATATATATATAAAGTGGACATTGAAGTCAACACCTAGCAGCAACAGTATGTTTCATGTTTATATGCAGGCCTGAGGAGTGTGTATAAGCATGAAACACTGTTGCTGCTGGGTGTTGGCTTCAATGTCCTCTTTTATATTTACATACATTCTATCTCCTGATATTGAGTAATTTAACCCATAAATATAACATACCATAAAACCATATTTTATCATGTATATAATAAGACCCTATTGAACTCACTCTGCCAAACCACTTGGGTTAATTTGCTGTGATCTGCATGAGTTTTGTTGCTGATGGTGTTTTGTTTATTTTGCTGTTGTTTATAAAGAATCTAATGTCTGTTCCAAAGAAATTTAAAAAAAAAAAAAAACCCATAAAATAGGTAATTTCAGAAATTCTGATGTTACTTCTTTTTGCTTTGCAGAAATGGAAACGCAGATTTTTTGTCTTGTTTAAGCCAGCCCGAAGCCTTCCTGGACAATTTGTCCTGAACTACTATGGTGATGACCAGTGCCGGAAACGCAAAGGTTACATAGACCTTGATCAGTGTGAACAGATTATTGAATCCTTGGATGTAGGGGAATATAAATTTGTATTGTCAATCAAGACCATCCATAAGGGCAGAGAAAGGGTTTACTTTTTGGCCACTGATACAGAAGAAGATATGACCACTTGGGTACAGAATTTGTGTCATGCCTGTGGCATGAAACAAGAAGAAAACCGTAAGACATTTTTTTCTTGTTTTCTTAAATTGTCATAAATTGTTCTATTTCAATTTGCTTCAGTGAGGTTTTGAATATCTGAACATCTTGGTTCATTTCTGTAATTAACTTATTTTAACTTGTGGACCAAACTTTCCAGTTTTTGTGGTTTGTTTGTTTGTTTGTTTTTTTTGTTTTTTTTTGTTTTTTTTCATATTTTTGATTTGTACCATCAAAACTTAGTCATAATCGCCATAACTTCTAACAAAACAGATTGGGATTAATCTTATGAGATTTGGCATAATGATAACAAGCTTATCTCATCAGTATAGTGAGATTGATTTTTATAGATCTCTCACTTTCTTGTGCTTTTGTGCCAAACTAACCTAACTTAATAATTATTTTTCAAAAATTAGTCTACTTTTTCCTAATTGTTTATAAATCCAAAATTATTTTCTTGTTAGTTATATCTTTTAACTAATTAGTAAGTAATAAAAAATATTGCATTTGTATTTTTATAGATTCTAAAAGAAAGAAAAGAAAAAAAAAAAACTGATTTTGTATGGATATGTTACCTTAAAACAAATTGTCAAAATCATTGCATCACTATTCATCACTCATTTGTATAAAAAGTGAAAGAAAAATGTCACTTTCAGGTTGTGTACTTATTTTGAAAGATTTTGTAATTTTGTGCCTTCACTTCAATGATATCTGCATTCATTTGTGTACATGTTCTCTTGTGTAAATGCAAATGTTTGTGCTTCCATGTCCAGTGCTAAGTCCTTGAGCTCAGTGCAATAAAAACTGACATGGTGTTTACAAAGCAAATTAAACAGAAAAAAATAATTTTCATAGTAATGCTGAAGCCATTAAGATTCTGTGGCCATTTAAATCTTATCTTCCTTAATGAAAGTATTTGGGATCAGGGTTGTAACCATGCATATTAAACTGCTGACTTGTAATTATGTATATAGTATTAAACTCTTAACTTTAAGTCAAAATAGAAGGTTAAAAGCTAATAATTTTTACTGTAATGTTCCTTTTGAAAATACTGAAAAGATAAGCAAACTTGGAAATAGTAGCACAAGTCAATCGTACCTGTGTGTGATGTATATTTTTAATGTTTTTATAATTTAAGCTGATTTAGATGTTTGATAAATTTAATCCTGGATTCTCAAGTGCTTTAACTCTTTACTTAGGCTAAATAATACAATATTGGTATATATTGAACTGATTTTTAGAAAAGAAAAAATAGACAGTAAAACATCAAGTAACCAATTCTATATCATTGTTTTATGAATATTGACATTTTATAGTTTATTTTCCTATGTATACTGTTAAATTTATTTAGTATTTTACATTTAGTTCAGTTTGTAATGTCTACATTATTCTGATAGTACTCAAAAGCCATTTTTTCTTACTTTTTAAAGTGTTATAATTTATTATAATTCAAATGTATCCAAGAATGTTGAGCCATTTATTTTCTGTTTGTATTTTCTCAAAGAATTTACAAAAAAAAAAAAAATTCCATTGATTTGTCTGCAGTTTCATAAAGCACCATGAAAGGCCAGTTTTTATTATATGTGCATGATCAAAACCTGTTTGGTGCTACATAATTGTTATAGAGAAATGAAAATCTATGTACCAATGCTTGTTCAAACTTATTGACCTATGTTACAATAGCATAACTAACTCTATCTATACTTCACCCAATGTCTATTCATGATTCTGTTGAAATAGAAAAACTTAGCAATGTCATTCAGTAACAATAAAGACTAAAACCAATTTCATGACAACAGGCACTTGTTACAGCTTGTACTTAACTAAGGGTATAACTTTCTTCACCATCTAAGGCATTGCAAAATGTATTTTGAACAGACAGACAAACTAGAATAATACTTTCACTAGGATTATTTTCTCACATGAAGATTTTGAAAATTATGCTCATAGTAATAATGTTCAAGAACTTGGGGGGTATGAAGGTGTTGTGAGTCTAGCAAATGCTTATGTTGACAAACACATTCTTTCACACTCAGTAACCTCCTGCATCTTAGTGATCTTGTTTGGGGTGAAATGATTAAAATACACATACTGCATGGTGACTGTCAATTTCATGCCTCAGTTTGATCTTCAGTGCATTGAAGCATGAAACTGACAGTCAACACTCACTATATCTATAATTGCTTAATCTCCAACATTGAATACTCTTCCTCTATAACTACATAGAAAATTTTAAACATGATATAAACTAATATAATTTAACCAAGTTTTTGAATATAGTGGTCAAAGTCTTTAAGTGTAAATATTTTTAGGATCTTGCTAAAAATGTGTAAAGAAAATTTAAATGTGTTTTAAGTTATAAAGTTGTACTTTGAAATTTGAATGGATCCTACTTATAAAAATAATTTCAATTTGAAACATTAAAATCAAATTGGTTTGTATTTTTATAGCAGACTAAACAGGTTGATTGATTCTTGAAAGGAATATCAAGCTCCATAATTACTATAGGTATTATTAAACTTGACTTAGGCTGGAACAAGGCCACAAATGTGGAGTACTTTGTGAGACTAACTTACTACTACTCCATGGCAAGGTGATGAGATAGTAACTAAGTGAATCAGGCACAAGGCTATAAGAGCAATTCACTGTAGGTGCTATAGTGAATTCCTTTGTAAGATAAGTTTGTTAACCAGTGCTCCATGGTGAGGTTACCTTGCTACATTATCAGTTCAGTGGCTTGATGGTAATGACCATACAGTATATTTATACTTATAGCATAATTTTATTGATATTTAACTATAAATAATCAACTATTATTTTACTTATTTTTCTATTCTTTCTTTACAGCACCAGATCTCCCTCAACCTCCCCGACCGCCAATGCGGTCTGATTCCGTTCGCTACCCACAAGGGAACAGTGCTGTGACCATGCAGCCAAATAAATATCAAAGTTCTCAGAAAACACCTGTCAACCAACCAGATTCCCCTTACCTTTTTATATCGCAGTGCCGTTCAGGGGATAATCGCCGGCAAAGTGTTGACAGTGTGCCTGAGGAGCCTGCACCTCCACCACCTCCAGCAAAACCCAACCTGTCAGGAGAGGTTATTAATGATGATCACTATGACCATCCAAAATCACCCGATATGAACAACAGTGAAGATGATGGAGTGTATAAAATGCTTCCTAGTAGGAATTTAACCTGGAATAACGGAGATGTGACTATGTATGATGTCCCACCGCCTGCTCGAAATGGTTTTAGCAGGGACCGCTATTCTTCAGAGAGATCGTCTTCAGAAATGAAAGATGTTTTCTATGATGTCCCGCCTCGGAAAATGGACTCTTTGTGTTATGATACTCCAAGGGTAAGGACACAATCTGCTGACACGAAAACTCCTGTACGACCCCAACGACATATATCAAACTCTGAGGCTTACCAGAATTTACCATTCAACAGTAAATGCTATAGCAATACTTCCTCCTCCCCATCTTCAACTTCAAGTCTACGCGGGTACCCACAGAGGTCAATCAGTCATAATTGGAAGTCTTCTACCATGGAACGGGAAAGCATTAATTTAGGTTTGTGCCTGCCCCCTCCACCTGTCTGTGGGTCGAGGGATGATCAACCTTCACATGGATATGTAAATGCACCTGTTGTAGGTCCAAATTCAGGCTCTCTCAGTCCAGATAATCCAGATGAGATTTATGTACCTATGGAGGGTCCAACTTCGGAAGCAAGCTCCTCCCGTACTGGGAGGACAGGTGGGGAGAAAGCTTACACAGATATGACTGAATGTGTTGGTACAAATGAAAGTGTTTACACAGACATGTCCAAACCAGGCCCCTGTATTGGCAAGGACTCACTGTGGTCAACACAAACTCAAGCAGGTCAGTTCTTTTCTACTCCCCCCCTCTCTTTCTGAATGTTTACTTTTAATTATTTTTTCTTCTTTTATTTAAATTAAAATGAGGGAAACTAAAAATAGAACTGACAAAAAAAAAAAAATTTTCATCAGTAGTAACTTATACTATTAGTACACACTTGATAAGTCATGTAAAATATTTTTTATTTTGGTATTGTTTTCAGGTTTGAATCCAACTTATTTTAAGTTAGTATATTTACAAACTTCTGAGAAAGTGCATTTGGGGTTTTGTCCAACATTAAAAAATACTTCTGAAATTTGTCAACTATATTATCATTTGAGGTTTTTAGAAGTAAATTGAAGGAGAAAAAAACAAATGTAAATTTTAATAAAAATTAAATTATTTCAGGAGAGCATTAGTTTAAAACAGGTCTATTTTTCACTGATGTAAGAAATGTGTAACATTTTCTAAAGCAATACTGTAAGAAGGAAGTTTCCTGGAAAATTTGATAAGGAAATTTATGTAGGTATTAGTTTTTATTATATTAACAATTTATCTTATGAAGAATTAAAAGAATTCTGAATTAATCCATTGTACAATTTAAATGAGAACTAAAGCAGATTAACAAAAGGTCAACTATCTTAGCCGCTCTGATTACTGTAATTCCCCATATATAATACACCTTCATCAATAATACGCACACCTAAAGTTGTGCTGAAAGTGTGGAAAAATGCTTCTACTCATGTATAATTTATTGGTAATCAAACCCTATAAATTGTACCTCTTCAATTTCATTACGCCCAGTGTTTCCCACTCTTATTTAAAAAAAATGGTTTTAAACATAGAATTATATTATTCTAATTTAGTTTTATTTTATTTTATTTTATGGCAATTTTTTTAAAGATATTTTGTAGCTGTGCATAATACGCACCCCTGATTTTGCTTATTTTTTTTAGAAAAAAATGCGTATTATACATGGGGAATTATGGTACATATTTGTTTATTGTTTTAATAGCCTTGTCAGAGCAAAACTTTCTGCGTAGTACCAAACTTGTTCAGAAATATCTAAACTGTCAGCTGAATTCAATCACTTTCTCAGATCAATGGTTAAAAATGGCTTTGAGCAAATTAAACTTGTAATCTTTAGTGAGGACTATCTTTCTTTGAACCTTGTGGACTGGCACTACAGAATCAACAACAAAAAATTCTACCAAATAGCAGAAATCACATCACTTGGAGACTTTGAACAACAGCAACAACTAAAATGGCTCACTTGTAACTCGAAGAGAAAATAACATAATCAAAATGCTGACATTACTCACTATTTCAAACAAAAGGTTAGAAAGGAAACCCCCCATCAATGCTGGAAAGAGTGATAACAGCTACTGGATTTGAGGAACTTTTGAAAAAAAATTTTTTTCTAAAAATTTTATAAATTTCAGCCAACATTGGCACTGGCTGCTCAATCAATGAATGTTGAATGTTTCCTTTTAAAGAAACTGCTAATATTACAATTTCTCATTTGCCTCAGTCCATATTTACTTATATATTTCTTAAATTCTTTTATGTTCACAAGTCAGACCAATAGTCTCATGGGGATTCTGGTTCTTGTACCAGATCATATTAAACTTTGATTTTTCTTCTCTCCCTTAAGGTATTTGTCTTTTGCATAATGCAGTGGTGTAACTCAATTTGGCTTATTTTATTCATTTGTCATTAAGATATTAATATTTCAAGAATATTAATTGTTATTCTTAAATACAGACACTGATAAATATTAATGGAGCAAAATTTTACTTGTTGCTTTTTAATTAGCCAATAATAATTAAACCAAAATTTTTCTATATAAGCTCAAGCTCTAAACTAAATTGAAACTGTACCATAGAAACTGTATTTGTCTTTGAAATCCTCACATGAATACTTCCAGGAATTACATCTGTTGCTGAATTATTTGAAATTTTGTAACATTATGCAGCATAGTTTGTTGTTCACGGAAGCTGAAAATGTATAAAATATTTGTGCAGGGTTGGAATCCCCAGGACCAGGTGCCTTCTCTCATCTAAAATGAGAACAGATATTTCACTTTGATCCAGGCTAAAAAGTACTGAATTAAGATGCCCCCAATGCAAGAAAAATCTGAGTGATTTACAAGTGAATTGTGAGGTTGCATATGCTCAGTTGGAAAAGAAATTTTGTAGGTTATTTAAATCCAGAAAAGATTTTTAGACTGTAAGATATTATTTTTTTATTTTTATTTATTTATTTTTTAGATAAAACTGATTGACTGATACAAGCCCTACTAATTAACCCATAACTGGAAAGAGTAAGGGTATTTGCATGTAAGTGAATATAATGAATCCAAATAGAATTGGAATTTGGCTCTCTGATTTCCAATTTCAAGCTGTTAGTTATTACACCACATGTACATCCAAGATCACAACACTTGGTATTCCCAAGTGGTCACCCATCTAGGTACAGACCAGATTTAATGTTGCTTAACTTCGGTGATCGTATGAGAACCAGAAGTAATGGATTGGCAGTTTCTGCAATAAACTTTTGGCAAAAGTTCTCCCGTGGTGAGTTATCAGAGGTTGAAAGACCCTGCACATGTTGCAAATGATATGGATACAGGAACTGCTCTTGAAATACCCATTATGTGATACTATGAGATGTATAACATGCTAGAGCCACTTGATGTGTGCTGATACTTGGATCATCGCCAACAACCTGTAGAATGTGTTCTTCATGGTCAGCTGTATGAGCAGTTCTCGGTCTTCCTTGATCCATAGTTTTTGGTGACACAGATCTTGTCTCAGTAACACAACAATAAACAGCATCAAAGGTTGGATGACATCTGAAAGAATCACATGAAGGAGTTGTATGAGGAAGTAACTTTCAGATACATTTTAAATTGCAAAGTTACTTGCACTTGGTGGAATAAATCAGCTAACTGGGTTGAAGGTGAAGCCATATTAAGTCTACTTGGATATCATATTAGAGCTATAGAAATACCAATATTTGAATATACTTTACCTACCTACATATCTACAACATGTGTAAAACATTCAGTATTCTTACATTGTCAATCTACATTAACTATGTCACACTTCTTTCTACTCTTTGATATATTGATTATTTTATTAAAATTAAAGAAAATACTGTTCAGTGATCTTTGATAAAGTTCAAAGCCAAATTATTATAGACTTTAACTACACTTATCAAAATCAGTAATCATAACTTTATATTGATTTATCCACAAATATGATTTTCCAAAAAAAAAAAAAATTTATAAAAATGAACAGTTGAGCATCCCCCTAAAAATGTAATAAACTATTCTCTTTGTAAAGTTCTTGCAAGTCAAAAATGTTTACTTATCAGCGATGTACAAATTGTGGATTACTGTATTAGGTAGTGCACTTATTTCAACAGGTATTAAAAAAAAAAAAAACTTTTCAAATGATACAATTAATGTTTGTAGAGCTTCATCTATGTTTTCTGTTTGGTCCAGTTCAAAACAAGTTTCTTTTGTGCATTTATTATAAATGCTTAAAATTCTAATATTTGTGGTGGGGAGAATCAGTGCAGGGTTTATGTCATCAAATATGGTATTCAACATTTCAAACTGTTGGCAGATCTCAAAAAGTTTTTTTAGATTTTAACTGCTCTGTATCAGAATAAGCTGAGCTTGGTAAACATTTCCGTGGCCAATCTGGTGGTTGAGGCAGTTTCAAATTTTCCATTATCACTACTGATTGATACTTGAGCCCAGGTAAAAGCTATGAGCTATAATGTTGATTTTCAAAGCAGGCACACACAATCCTTATCCACTGTAAATTTCAATGGTTCTACAATTCAATGAAATACTGGCCAAGAAGTGAGAATATTGATAGAAATATTAAGCTTAAAATAGTAATTGATAATGCTGTTTTTCACTATGATCCATTAAAACTGGGTACAATGTCCAAAACATTGTGATAATAGCAATAAAGATGTTATGGACATTATAATTCCAAATGTAAAAGAATAATACACATAATATAAATGTTGAGTAGAGATAGGAAAGCTACTGGTAAATATAAACACTGGAATCATATTTAATATAACATTGCTTAATGATATTGATCAATTGTGCCTGATGATTTGGAAATAGTTGTGATGTTTAATATTGATGAAATTATGGCAGCAAAGGAAAGTGAGTGTAAAAACTGTAAGGATTATTATGTCTATGATGAAGTTGAAGATCAAGGTCAAAATGTTGTGTGTGAGGAGATAGGTAATTACTGAAAAGAAAAGGAACAACAATGTTATTACTAAAGCTAAGACTGGTAGTTTGTGAATTTGACAAAAACGTTGCTGATTTACATAAAGATTCACCAATATATTCAAAGGAAGAATATTAGTAAGTAGATTAATTTCTAATTCACATTGTCTTAGATTTACCAGGAAAATGCAAGACGTTATTCATCTGTACACCCACTTGAACGGAATATGACATAAGGTTGTATTGTATAAGTGATAATCACACATATAGATTGATAATAAAAATTGCTTAAACTCTTGGTACTTCTCTTCCTTTTGAGGTGCCTCAGGGATTGATCTTGACCTTATTTCAAAGGGAAAGATGTTGCCTAGAGTTGAGTACATTGGATTTTGATATAAACTCAACTACAAATTGCCACTGCATATTGCAAAAGAATCAAGAAAAAAAAAAAATTTAGTCTTTGATTAAAAATCCCTACTTTTAATATATGGTTGGATCAGTTAGATTATAGTTTTTGTTACTTGATATATGGGAGTAGGGATATGTAAAATTGTTGGGGCAGGGGATAAAGGTGAAACAAGTATGTGTTTTTTTTTTTTTTTTTTTTTTTTTACATTTCCATATCATTAACCTGGATAATAATCACCTACAACTTTATAGTTTAATGCACTTGATTTCAATGTTATAAGTTCTGATAATTTTATTGAACTGTTTTTTGAGGAGGTAAGTGTCTTTGTTTAGTATTTTAAATTTAGTTTTCCTATCAAAAATATACTTTGATTTTGAACTATAATCACTCACATGGGAAAAAATATTTTTTATCACCTTTTTTTTTTTTTTTTTTATAACATTTCTAAAATTTCCATGATGAAATTAAAAAAAACTATCTAACTGATAATATTAATGTTTCTTATAATGACTAGTAATAATCAAAAATATTCAAACAAAAACATGTACTTTGGAAAGTTTTTTTTTTTTTTTTAATTGATCTGGATGTGTGGCTGCTTTTAGGAAGTCACATATCCAGAATGAATGAGTTTGACGCCATGCATGGCATCCATATTGAAAGTCTTGATCTGATGAGGCTATTTATGTACATGACTTGAGTTTTAAGGTTAATGTTTTGGTTTTGTAGCAATTTGCAGTGTTAAGTGAAACTACTCCTAGCACAGTCTATTCATCAAATATAGTAAGTTTGGTGGATAAGTTATATGATTACACAATAAAATAATTGTAGTAGTAATGATAATTAAGAAAACCCACTTCATTTTTGCCTTGATATTTGATCACCTTATGGATTAATAAAAAGTAAGCTTTCAACAGATCTTGGTTCTTAGAGTAAAAAAATATAAAATTCATTGTTTTTACTACATGGCTGAAAATCCTTAAAGTAAATTTGTGTGAGGAAGGTGACAAATTTTCTTTTTCCAACACACCTTATGGATTAATCATATAATTAAGCAGTAAAATAAGTACATCAATAAGTCTATGGCCTAATAATGAAAAGTATTTATTTAAAAAAAAACATTATTCAATATGATCTTATCAATGTGCATTTAACCTAATGCTTCTTCATTAATTACAGATAAAATATTATGGAGTGAAAAATTTCAATAAAACAGATCTAATAACTGTGAGGCTACAGACCTATTGATCTACACACACACACACTATATATATATATATATATATATATATATATACACTCTCCACTTTGTATTTAGAAAATTTATTTTTATTTTTGAGATAGAATGTAAAACAAAAAGAAATTAGATAAGAACTATATGATATAATAGTGTTCTTTAAAGTTTGAATTGTATTTTCTAAAATATTCTAATTAAAAATTTGCAAAATATTTAGTTTGGATGGCCTCACATTTATTTATTTTTTAAATCTCTGAATAATATTCCTTGTCAGGATTATGCAAAGTAGGATGTTAAATGGTGATAATAAAGTTCTGTCAGCTGTGTATGTTGTATGAGGGAGAACACTAAGTGATTGATTACTTCTGATTTGTTATAAATTTACAAACATCTTAGGTTTGAATTGTCATCTTTTTGAATATTTGATATTTCCATGATCTTGACTTGCTCTATTACAGGAACTTTAATGTTTTGATTATGTACAAAAGCTGTATAAGAATGTCAAAAGAAGCACATGTAATTCATTCCCACTTGAAAGTTAGATCAGATTTTACAAAAAGAAAGATTGAATAAAACATTTTTGACATGGAGACAATCAAATAATGATTAACCCTGATTTTTGAATTGGAATCTATTTCAGCTGTTATGTCAAGAAAATGATAGTCCTTTAGATCTTGTGAAGATGGGATTATTGGGTAAATAAAATATTTGGTTTTGTTTCTACTTGTATTGGGGTGGCTGTCCTCTGTACTTCATTTTTCTAAGCAAGGAATATAATGTGACCTTTTTGCCTATTTTAACTCTTAAGTTGTTACAATCTTTGCTATTTCTTTGACTTGAAAATAAGTGTTTTGTAAGGAGGATGAGGTTGATCCACTTACATTTTTTTTTTCTTCCTTTTATTTTTATCTCCTTTCTCATTCTATTTCTCATATTTTGGGGACCCTTTCCATTGCATACAAGAATTAAGTAAATTCTTAAACATTTTCTTTTTGTAATAAGACCTGAAAAAAGAAAAGCAATAGAAGTTGATAAAATTCAGTTCTGAAGTTGCTTTTTTATGTTTTTGTTTTTTTAAACGGTGATTATTTTGTGGATTTACTTATAAAAATGACATTGAAATTGTGAAATGAGCATCAAATTTTTATATTTTCTTTTACTATCTAAAATTTTGAATATTAAAGAATTTTCAAACTTATTTTATAAAAAGTTAAAGAAATAAAATCTAATTTTATTCTATTTTAATAGTTTTGAGTAAAACTTAGATTCAAAGAACAAATCTTGAATCCTTTTATTAAACATCTCTTCAAACTTAATCCATAAAAGTTAATATGGAGATCACTTTAACATTCAAAATAGTGAATTATTTTAGCTTTCAGGAAAAATACTTTGACTTTTGTTTTAAGGTTTTTCAACTTTTTGGTGACTACACACCGAAGAATTAATGAATTGAAAATCTGCTGTTTAAATTATTGAACCAATATTCTTTAATTATATATTACTCTTTTCTGTCAAGAGCTTGTACAGATGCTTACTTAGTCTGCTATGACAAAATCGATGTCAAATTTTAAAAATATTTTATATTGCAAATCAATAGATTTTTCAGATACTGCTTTCTCAATTTTAATAACATAGAACTCAGTTGGCATTCATATTGATTTGTGGGCAAATCTCAGTCATTGTTGTCTTCTGTTAAGAAGGCCACAAGTTTCTATTCTATGCTAAGTTGGTGAATTATATATTACTTATGTCAAGTAAATACATTTACTTATGATTTTAAAAAATATGCTAATCTTTATGGTGCCATTTACTTTTTCAGACACAGCCCAATTGTAGAGCATCAGACACAGTCATGAAATCTTATGCCTACTTTGTAGGGTTAGCATATGTTGAAACACCAGTTCTCATATGATCACCAAAGTTAAGCAACATTGAGCCTGATCAGTACCTAGATGGTTTGAGAATACCAGGTACTGTAAACTTCGATGTGTGCATGTGGTGTAATGGATAATGGCTTGAAATTGGAAATCTGAGGGCCGAGTTCCAATTCGAGTCAGGTTTCTTATATTCACTTATGTGTGAATCCACCTCTTCTATGGGTTAATTAGGACATGTATCAGTAAAAATAATTATCTTCAAAGACATTGTAAAAATACTTTCTGGCTTTAAATAATCTGAAAAAAGTTAAGCTGTAAAAAAAAAAAAAAAAATCAATTTTGAGTTAGCTAGAAAATAGTGCTAACTTATAATACAGTTTTCTTGTCAACTGACCTGAGAATTTTGCTATAAAAATCATTTTGCTTTCCATTTAAGTATAAAAGAGGAGAAAAAAATCATTGGTTTTCAAATGACAAATCTTCTCCACTTGTATTATTCATCACCCAAAGTATACAGCAATACAGCATTCTAACTATGCCATTTCATTCTTTGTGTTCATTAAACAGTGCTCTACAGACTAGAGTAGACCAACAAATATCTCCAGTTCCAGATTGGTGACTAATTATTATTTAAATTTATTCATTCTTTCTTGAGTTTCATGACTATCACATCAGATGAAATAATTGTGTATGGAATAGTTTTTAGTTGATACTCCATTTAATCATGCATTTAAGTAAAAAAAAAAATGGGTGAAAAAAAAGCAGTCAAAAAAAAATATTCATAAAATGTGTCTTGAAAAGTAAAATGTAAATAACCTTTTGATACAATGTTTTTAAATTTAAGAGTTTTTTTTTCTTTTTTTTTCTTTTTTACCTTTTACTGTTTCATTCACATTATTGGTTTCTTTTTTGTTAGATACATACAGTATTTTTGGAACAGAGAAAACCAAAAGCTTTAAAAAAGTTCCCAGTAAAACGGATGATTGTACTGCATCACAAATTAGTTTTAATTCTCTGTAAGTAACATGTTTTTTTTTATTATTTTTGTATTATTGTTTTTGCATGCAAAATGATTCTACAGAAAAATCAAAATATGGAGAAAAAGAAAAAATTATATTTAAGTTTCTTCATTTTTTAATTTTTTTTTTAATTTCATATTTTATTGGAATAAATGAATTCCCCTTTCTTAATGTCTTTTTGAGAAATTCTGGTAACAGCTGAAAAAAATGTAAAGTTTTGCTCAGTTATTATTCAAGTAATTAAAAAAAAAAAAAAAAAAAATCCTCCCTGCCAAAAAAGTTATTCATTAATAATAAAACAATCTCAAGGCAGTTTTCTGCTTGCCTTCATTTAAAGAATATATATATATATATATATATATATATATATATAGCAAATCTTAAATTAAGTATGACTGGATGCTTAGTTGAAGAAACCAATTTAAAAATGTCCATCCAACTGCCATTATTGAGTTCTCAGTGTATGTATATATATATATATATATATATATATATATATATATATATATATATATATATATATTTTTTTTGATTATTTACAATTTATTCAGCCTAGTTCATTTTTACAAAGTTGAATTTAATTTTCCTTTGTTCTGATTATCTGTGGAATTTTTGCACTTCAATCAGTATTAATACGAGCAGTCATCTCGTTATATTGCCTAAAAATAATAGCATTGTATGTTTAAATTCAAACTGATAATTATAAAATTAGCAAAGCAACATTTACAGCTTGATTATTACCCATAAGGGATTATTTGTCAATGTGGAGAAATTGTCAATTGTAATCTTTAATTTGCCTGCATACTAAAGGGACAGTAACAATCACAGCTCTCCACAACCTTTTTTTCTTAATATCTATAAATTGTGAACTGCTATGCCTGTCCTTAGGAAAGATAGTGGGATGGCTTCTCATTGCCTTCTTCATTGTGTCAAAGCTAGAGAATTTAGTCATCCCTACTATTTTATTCAGAGCTAGGGTTAGAATTTGAACTTTGCCTGGCAATTTAATTTTCTTCACCAGTAACTTTTATGCTACCTTCACATTCAAAGAACTGAGGTTCTGAAGTGTCAAAAGATTAGACACAGCAGTCTATTGAATGTTTTGCACCGCCCCTTATAGAAATGGATCCAGCCAGATGACCAGTGTGTGGTGTATTACATAGAGGTAGCATAACTGCAGTAGCTATGAGATGTGAGCAAATTATTTAACACTGACTACAGAATGGTTGTTGGGGCCAGAAGGATGATACACACTATCTCTGAGGTGACAATGGGAGCAAAGCTATACCAAGGATATTTGAATTCTGGACAGATGTCAGTGACATGTGAATACTGTGTACTTTGTTGTAATGCAAAAACAGGACCATTGACAGAGATGATAATCTCCTAATAAAAGGCAATATTACATCAAATCCCATGTTTGACCAAAAAAGAATACCATTACATTAGTTACTGTACCTCATATAGGCCAGAGAATATAGACACTGGATTTAAGAAAACTGGTGCCAAATTGTCAGAGGAGTCCTGTTTCCAGTTCCTTATGACAGATGAGATTCTGAGTGGAGCAGATCATTAGATCCAGCCTCTTAACAGGGTGTTGGATAAACTTATGGTATGATGATTTAAATCCCATTTAGCATGTATGGTTCAGTATAAGCCCATGCCACATCATGTAACTGGAATTAAGTGTGAAAGTACCCATTGTTAGATAGCTGTCTCTAATTTTTTGGCACTTCATTTTTTAATAGATCTATTCTGTCAGTAATGCTTACCTTAGTTATTGATCACCAGCAATTCCTTTTTTACTGATCTTCATTGTATTTAAAAAAAAAAAGAAAAGGTTAACACTTTGTTTTTGATCAGTATGTATTTTTTGTTTTTTTTTACTATCACCAGAAATACTTAAGCTGGGGATAATGCTAGAATATCAATAGTGTCAGTGGGTAGGAAATCTGAAACCTTGAAAGGTGGTGCTAAAATACATAGTAGTTTCCTTTCCTCATCTGTCAAAATTTATTGTATTATTAGATTTAGAAGGAATGAAAGTTTTAATCTATTTAATAAATCCTATGTGTGATAGCATTTTATAAAAGTAGTAAATTTAATGAATTTAATAAAATTCATTGATTATATTGAACTATAATAAAAATCTGTTGTAATAAAAAATAAGAAATCTATTACTACTTTAGTAAATTGCTTTGTTTACATTTGAATATGAAACTAAGCAGATGCGAAATTTCAAGAGTTTATGACTGGAAGGATTTTGCTTAAAAGCACTATTCAGCCTTGCTTGATCGGCAAAGGTTCTTTGTAGCAGAGTCAGTTAATGTTGGGTCCAACGATGATTCTCTCTGCCCAGGGGGACACAGGTTTGAATCCTGCCAGAGAGTGCTTATTTTTCTTTAATAAGATTTTGCAAATATTCAGAATAGTAGATAAAAAATAAATATACTGTTTAATAAATAAACTGTGTATCTACTCAAATATGAATATCCACTAAAAATAAAGTAATAGAACTATACAGCAATTTTAGTTGTTTTTTTGAAAACTTATTTACTTCAGTATTCATGATAATATTTCTGTTGAGTGTAGTAATGTATTCAAATGAAGAACCATGGGAAATGGAGTATAAGCACCAACATTACAATATTTGTACATGTTGTTAATTCATTTTGGTATTTGCTCCAGAAATATACATCAGTTGGGTGAAGAATGTTATTGTCCCTTATCAGTAGATATGCATAGAGACTCTATTATCCTTAGTATATTAGTCTTTTGTTAACTCTGCACTTGACACCAAATGAAGTATTCGGGAATCTGATAGTTCCAGTTGCAAATTCACCACATTATTTTCAATATTATGCCTCTGCTACAAGCCCCTCCTCCTTCTGATGCAATATTCCTTGTCTCACATACTTTCTGGCTCATTTATCCAAATTCAGGAACAACTCTTTCCACCAAACTCTTCACCGCTCTTAATTTTTCTCCCTGCCCCAAATCCCTACTGCTTAATTTTCTTTCCACTAATAATAACTAAGCTACAATGGGTGCATTGTGAGTGTCTGTTCTGGAAATTTCTGCCATAGTTGATTAGTACTACTGATTAAATGCTTGTAACCATTTTTTTTCTTGATGATTCACAGGCAAGTGCCAATTTATTTGCTACAAACCAGGTTTCTTCCCTGAGTGGGTGTCTCAGATGTGCTTGCCACTTCTTGTGGCAAACTCTACAGACTTCTTAGAATGTTTGTTGTTCCCACAATAATATTAGTAAAATAGTTTTGGCTAAAATGATTGCACTGGTTTCTTTAAATATTCACTGGCAGTTAGGGAAGATAGTCAACTTAAATATCTACAAAAAATTAAACAAATCTGGTCTCAAATGTTTTTATTTTTTTTATATAAATCTTGTGTGCATTTTTATGTGTTTACAGTAAAAGCAATGTTTATGTATATGTTCTCTCTTTTTTTTTTATAAATACTATCAATGCAAGTGTATTTTATGTAGAATTTATAGGCAATCAATATCAGGTTAAGGATTAAAACAGGTTTAATTTGCTTAGTAAGGCACAAAGCTAATTGGGGATAGGAGGGAAAAGAAAGTCTGTGTTATATCATTTTCAAATGATAGCTTTTTTGCTTTGAAAATTAAAATTCAAAATTTTGGAGTTTTCTTTCATTAAAATCTAGCACCAGCAAAGCCTGAGTTTAGTTTTGATAAAGTAGTGGTTAATTTCCCATCTGAATTTTAGACACTTACCATAGAAGAAACCTTAAAGACTTCAAATTTTCATTGTATTTGAACCTTTGATAACAATGGACAAAACTTTAAAGTAGATACCAAGACAATTTTAAAAAGTAATTACAATAAAAGATTTTATTTTACAATGTTAAACATTTTCAATTCATGGTTCAAATTCAATTAGTAGAGTATTCATAATATATGTTCTTTGTTTATTTAGTTTACATAATTTGATTTGAAGTTCCTTCAAAGAAAACAATCTATGAAGTTAAGAAAAAGAAAATTGATATGAAGTCATTTGTTGCAAATTATTTCTATAAATCAGTAGAATTTGAATTAATAACTTTTCAAGAATGATCACTAGGAAAGAAAATTTGTATATAAATTAGTCAATTTTAAAATTTTGACAAATTAGTACTTGTAATATTTATTAAGTTTAGTTTAGTGCACACCAATGCCAAATGGGTTAGAAAAACTGTTAAGCAAATCTTTCAAGTGAAAAGGACCTTCTGAAAATAGCATTTAAAATGCTAGCTATTTTCTTTTCTTTTTAATACTAAATTTTTATTCAATACTAGGCCCAAGAACCACTCAAATTAGAGGTTGTTGTATGGGCATAAGAGGAGAAAGTGCAGATTATTGAGGATATGTAAGATTAAAACATGAACTGCTTGTACAGTGTGTGGCAGAAATACCTCCCACATAATGGTGAGACATTAGCTAAATGAAGACACCATTGTTACTAATGTTTTACCATTATGTGAGAACTATTTCTTTCACACCGTTTATGAGGCAAAGAGTAGGCCAAATTAGTAAACCTTACTTCTGTTCTTGATATTAACTTTGATTCCTTTTTATTATTAATTTCTTTAATGGGAATTTTTAAGTTAAAATTTAAAATAATTTATACCTATTTTGATACTCTTATATTTTTCTTAATACAAAAAATCCTGCAAAGTGAAAATATCTTTTCCCTTTAAATTAACATTTTTATTTTCACTACATATATAACTCTATGTAGGAAGTGTGTGTGTGTATATATATGAAGTTCTGTGGCCACATCTATTTAAGCATGAAACTTCAAAGCAAGCATGAGTTAAGTGAAAATAATTCTTCATATTAATTCTATTAACATTCTACCTCTATCTTCGATATTGAGCACTCTACCACAAAGTCTGCTTGCCTTAAAAGCCTCTTTATCAGGAAAACGATGAAAAACCAGCAATTTTGGCTTCAAAAGCAGTATTGCAAATTAACACACACACACATATATATATATATATATATATATATATATATATATATATATATATATTAAAAATTGAGTTGTGAAAGACTATTTTGTTTCTCCATTTCTTAGAACAGAGAGAGGCTTTATGCATATGCTCTATGCTCCCTTTTCTTTCCCTGGTGACCAACAAAACAGACTTGAAAATTTAGCAGAAAAAACTGTTTCCCCAATTGACCAAAATATCACCTTTCTCTTTCTTTTTTTTTTTTTCTCTCTCTCTTTGTCTGTGTGTGTTGTGCCACTGACCTAGTTTCAGTCAGTCTCCTTGGTCCCCCCCATTTTTTCTTTCTGTCTTCAGCTGAACATTCCAAATGTGCAATGTCATGTAGCATGAGGTCACACACACCAAATTCCACAAATTCAAATATACATTGTTTTTTGTTCCTCCCCCACCTCTTCTGGTTTTCTCTTTTATGCCAAAGACAGCCAAAACCTATTCATGAAAGACTCTCTCTGCTTGGAAGATGAAGTAAATTAAAGTAGGGAAATTAGGGGCCATTTTTGTTTCTTTATAAAGAAGAAAAATGCATTTTCAAATGGTCTCTTTTGACTTGTAAAACTGGACAATTCTTACCTTTTCTTACCTTTTTTCATCATAGATCTTTGAAGAAAACATTAATTTTAGGTAAAAATAAACAAAAGTTTTATTGATTTTTTTGTTTAAGGGTAAAGAGTTTTGTCATCAAAATGATTTATTCATTCTATATCATATTTCATTTATGAACAATGAGAAAAAAATAATTTTATACAAATTGGAAATTGATTTCTCTGCATAATTTGTTTGTAAATTTGTCGTTAAACCTCTGCTGAAAATACCTTTTTGTTAAAATTTTATAGTCATATTGATTTTTAGACTGAAGTGAATCTGAAATTTGATTGTTTTTATCATTTTGTTGTGGTTAACTAATGTATGGATAACTGCACAAACAAATTTTAATGCAGTTTGAAACTGTATAAAGAAAGATTACAGAAACTAGAATTTGCTAACTCTTATACTAATTTTTGTTTTAATTTAGCTTTACTTTGTATCAAAATGTAACCCTTAATGGAAGGTGGTCTAGATTTGAAAATAATAATTTTAGAAGGAAATTAATTTCTTTATCTTTAATGTGTTTAATAAGAAATAACCTGTAAATATATGTACTTTATAAATTGGAAAACTAACTATTGTATCAGAAATTTGTCATCAATAATATTAACATCATGTGTTTCAATAAACAATGTTTGGTAGAGCAATTTTAATAGAACCTGTTTTGATAAAGTAAAGAAAAACAAAATGTCTACAAATAATTATCTGATTACTCTTTCTAATTCAATAAATATTCCTTCTCTTGTCCATGTACTCTCATGGGGAAATAAAATTCACCATACTTTGAGGAATAATGGTGCTGATTTTGACTTTGACATAATATTTGCATACTGAGGGGTAGTAGGTATTTTGATAAAGTTTTGAAGTCTTTGTCCATTTTGTAACACTCATATCAGTGCATCATCTGTGTGTGAGTTTTATGCAGTGACACATGTGAAAATTTACATTTCATTATGGTGAAAGAGTCTAATGCAACCAAGTGTCATGTCACGGAGAAATACATGTACTCCTTCAGCTCAATTAGTCGTTTCGAAGGGAGTATTGGATTGTGGGCCCTCAGGAGAAGGGCAGGCATTTTTTTGGATATTTGCTATATATGTTGAATGTGATGCAAACTGTGGTCAAATTAACCTTCTTATGCCTACAGACCAGATTTGGGATTGTCATGTAGTACAGACACTTCCCAAGATTGACACATTGTAAGGATAGCAGCAGCATCAGACCATACTGTGTCCACAGATCAAAACAACTGTAGCTTTAAGAGTGTCAAAAAGGATCATTAGGATTAAATTATTTTGCTGCAGGGTTACAAGCATGTATGCCTCTAGCCAAACTTTCACTCAAAGCACAACATTTTTGTTGCCAGTAGATTTTGTGAGGACAGGGAGGGGTGTTACTTGGACAATCAAATTGTGTTTTCTTTTGCTCAGTGATGAGAGCAGATTCTACCTTCATGCAAGTGATGGCCATTTACCCTTGAGGAGTGATGTCTTTCAAAGTTTATTTACCTAATGCACAGACCAAAGATCTGGCATCATAGTGTGCGTGTGTGTGTGTGGGGGGGGGTATCATTTTGTACCTCTTACTTGACTTTGGTATTTGTAGAGGTAATGCCATGTCTATCCAGAAGATTTCTCAACCTGTACTGCTATCAATCTGTAACAGGTTGGTGACAAATTGTTCCAGCCCACCAATATAATGTTCATACTACTCAGCATGCACTATAAGATGTTTGGCAACTTCCTTGGCAGAAATTAAAATAATGGAGCTAGTATGGGAAGTTCTTCTACATATGCTACTATACTCACTAGACCTGTTAGCTTCAGAGTGTTTCCTGCTATGTAACACTCTTTGTATAATCAGTGGTATCAGTAGATATTGGAAAATTATAATATAATTTATCTAAAAAGCCAGTGTCAGAATCTGTATTGAGTCATAAAAGTATTTTTCATTGGTTTTGTGTGAACTCTGAATTTGCATCAAAAGAATTTGTTCAAACTACAAAAGTTTGAATCAGTTTAATCATTTATTTGAAACTTATCGGTAATTGTTAAATTTCAATTTCTCTCAAAAATTGACTGAATTAATCAGCAAAAGGCCAGAGTATTTATAAATTTGTTACATTCTGTAGACTGTAAATCAGTAAATATTTTACAAGTGCTGACATCTGATCTCTCTTTAATCCAGACAAAATAAGATCCAAAGATTTTATTCACATTTACTATTTGTTTTTTGTCAGTCCATGGTAGATGGGTCAGGGATTCAAAAATATTTTGATTTTGATACTGTGGAATTGAACATTATAATCTCTGACACCTGATAACCTATTCTGGCTCTGGAAATAAAAGAAGTTGGTGTGGTTTGCAAAAGAAAGTGAATTTCCCAATTGATTGCAGAGAATTCTAGGACTTTTTTTTTTTTTTTTTTTAAAGGCAGTATTTTGAAACATTACATGCAAATTTGCTTATATGTTTAAAGATTGCTTACTTTGTATTGGAGTAATTTTGACTTGTGAATAGCAAGTAGGCATTGTCAGCACATACAAATATGGATCTGACCTGTTTTGACAATGAAAATGAGTTACACACACACGCTTTCGGGAAGATAAAAAATAAATTTATATTAAGTCATGTCTGATGGGGATCAAGAATAGGTTGGTCATTATTTATCTTGGGTCACTTTGATCTCCTTTTGACATGAATAAAAACTAAGAATGATTAAGAATAAGAAGAAACATGACTAAAATTGTCTGGTTTTAGGCAACTTATTAGCATTTAGAAATGTATTTACAGAAGAAATCAAACATCATTGCTGTGCATGTTAAGTATCATTCTTGATATTTTCAATTACAATTGAAATATTTGTTTGATAAAATATTGTTGAGTTGACATGTACACATATTTTACATCTAAAAATAGACTTTTATGAAATGTTTTTCAGTGTACTCTCTACAGTTACCTCATTTGTGAAGTCATTGATAAATTACACAAATTATCTGCTTCTATTCAATTTCAGAATAGATTTTCTCTATAAAATAATCAGGGGACATGACAGTTGCTTAAAAAAATATTTAGCAATAAATATTGGTCTATTATAGACATATGACATTTTATCTGATTTAAATTTAGCATAGAATTTAACTTGAAATATGTTTTGGAAAACATTTTTGTATCCTTTTTTATTTTCTCATTTGTTTCGTTTGGTAATGAACTCCTCTTTTAAAATTATGGATTTCATATCCTCCATAAAAAAAAAAATGTGATTTATTTCTCTTTATGAATATATGAAACAAAATTTATTAGAGTTAGAGCAGAAAAGTTTTCCAAAGTGGGGGGAAAAAAAAAAAGTGAAACAATATAGAACATTTTTTTTCATTTTCTGTTTATAGTTCTTTATGGAAATATTTGAGTACCACAAAATTTTGTTTAAATAGTTGATTTTGAAATTTTATTTCAGGAGAACTCAACCAAAATTGCCACGGAAAAAACAAGCACCTTTACCTGATGGCTCTTCCTCTTCAGAAGATGATGGGGAATCAACAGGGGTGAGCTTTTTTTTTTTTTTTTTTTTGCTATTGCCTTGCAGTTAGTTATTGGAAAGGGTTTTTGCTTAAATGTTTACTCACCTACACACTATCTTACTCTTATTGCTATTAACAAGAAATTGATCTATTTATCTGACAGTAATTAGTATGAAGTAATCATAGTCTCTGACGAAATTCGAAGTCAATTTGGCATCTTTCTCTGTTGATAACCGACGCGCTCTCACAACTTACTGCTTGAGAAGGGAGATAACTTTTGCTTCCTCAAAAATTACTTCTGATAAATTGTACAAGTAATTTGCATTGAAAGAATTCCAAATCTGAATCCTTTTTTTTTGTTGGCGAGTATGAACCCTGCTGAACTGAATCAGTTTTGCTTAACTTAAATTTGCGATTTAGCTTGAGGTCACTATTTTTTAATGGCTGTAACCTTGTTTGCTATTTTATCATTGTAATGAGTAATCATGTCATGTTATTTGGACTATTTTCATGAACATTTTCTTTTCAGCTGTCTTTGAGCTTCAAGTGTATGTTTAATCTGTTTTAAAATTTGATTAGTATATTGATTGTACATTATTTAGCCTTCTTCAGATGTATCAGCTGAAAAATTAATAATCTAATATGGAATAATGAAAAAAAACTTCATTGCAGAATTTCAGCAAAGAATTAATATATTATACACACATACTTTTGTCTGTCAGTAAATCTCACATATTCTTGGTGATTGAAAACTTGTTCAAATAATTTCTTAGGTTAAAAATTGCAAAATTTGTTAATCATCAAATTACACCTTTAAGTACTTCTATTACAATGGTAATTATTTTCACTCTCTTTTCCTCATTTATTCATGGTCCAGAAACCCACACTTATGTATGCCTTTATAAGATTCTTTATAGGCATGCTTCTGAAGTAAAAATTTTCCATAAGTTTTTAGAAGATAATGATTAAATGATTGATTTTTAAATTGTTTTATTCCTAATATCTGTTCAACCATTAAACTTATTCTGGAAACACTGGCATTCGTTTACTTTTTATATCAACTTTTAGAATTTACAAGATAATGGAAAAGCTCACATATTCTTAGTTTGACTATGAAGCAAGAATATATTTATTCATGCAAAAGACCTGACTGAAATAGAAATTAATTCAACTCATTGTATAAGACGTGTAAGAATGACACAAAACTCCCCCTTCCCTCTCTCTCTCTCTCTCAAATATTTCTATACATTAACCAGGGCCAATAGGTGAAGATTAACCTTTGTTTTTCTTAACTCATATCTCTTACATATTTTTCTTTATTGAGCTAGTTTGATGCTTATTCAATTTTGGGATCATGGTTAATGAAGTAATTATTTGTTTTCTTTTTGTCTTTGTCTCTTACATAAATACATGTAATTATTTTATTTATTTATTTATTTTGTCAAGGGTTTGAAAAAAATATTGCAAATGGCACCCCCTGCTCCAGGAAAAACAGATTGTGGAGAACTGAAATATTTGGACTTGCGGCTTGATGACAATGCAGACACACCAAGCGGTCCCCCACCCTCATGTGAATATCGGGAAATTGATTTTGTTAAGACGAACGCTTTGAGGAATGTAACAAATGCCAGAGTTCTTGAATAACAAAGGCCAGAGTCATGAATAAGCACAAAAACGGACAATAACAAAAAACTTCTATGGCAAGTAAATTTACTCAGATGACAAAACATGAAACTGACATTCTTGAAAGTTTTTTTAAAATTACAAAGGAAAACTATTTTTTTTTTTTTTTTTTTTTCATTGACTTTTTGAAAATTCTTTTCCAAGACAAAATCTCTTGGTTATATTAAATACTTTTCCTATCACATCTTGCTCTGTGTCTTTACATAATTACACACACACACACACACACACACACGAAAAGAACTCTTCTGCTTTGTGATAAAAATGACTGAATTGACCATTTTTTTTTTCTTACTGGTTCATTATAAGAACTGATTCCAGAACTTTTTACCTGCCATCTGCTGTTAGTTGAAGATTGTTTTTCAACATGGAAACTATGAACGCTGCTACAAATGCTTATTTTAATTTTTTTTTTTTTTAAATTGGTATGCAGTTAATAGTGCATAATTCAAAGTTCTTGTCATCACCTCTAATTTTCAGTCATTAAAATATATAATAGACTCATTGGCTGTTGACATAAAAATCATGACTATATTATACATAAGAGGAAAGTTGTCTGATCTTGTAGGTAGGAGATTGAGGTCAAGGTAAGAAACTTTGGTACTGCACTACATTACTGTTTTGAATTTTGGAAAACTTTTATTTTAAGAAATGTTTTTAGAAAAGTAATTTAAAAAACAAAACAAATAACAACCATCTTTCTCATTTCATATCCAATCAAATGTCATGAACTTTTAGGCTTCATTATAACCATATTATTTTTTCATAAAAATTACTAATGAATTACTAATTGAAATAAGAAATTCTTTACAAAAGTAAAAATAATGACGGATACTTAATCTTTGTATATGCCGGCAGATTTTCATTTTTTTTATTACATAAATTGAGTGCGTATGAGGCAAGTTAAGTTTGAAATTAAAAATGTTGATATGTTAGAAGAGTAAATGTTTTCACTTTGATAAGTATTTTTTCTTTTTGCATTTCACTCTGAACTAATTTGATACAAAATTTTTGCTTAAGGAAAAATGAAAAAAAAAAACGCAAAATGAAAAAAAAAAAACACCCTTTGCTTTGAATGATTGAGAATAGAGAATGCATAACCAAATTATTTTTTCATTGTTATAAATGAATTTTTTTTTTCCAATAAAAATATTTTTGTTTAATTGCATGGCTTAGAAACCTGATGGAATTTTATCCATCCTGGATAATTTTTTAAGCATAAATAGGATATTTACAATTTTTTTTTTCTTTTTCCCCCCTTACAGAGCCTGGTGCAAAATGTACTACAATCAATAAACATTTTGAAAATTGTTGTTCAAAATGAGAGAAAAAAAAAAAAACTGGACCCCTACTGCAGCTGCTTAATATCAGCTGAATTTCAATCATAAAAGAACTTCATTTATGGTTAAAGAATCTAACTTTTTGGGTTTGATTATTCAATTAATATACACGAGAAAGTTAATTTTGGCAGGTTCTTTTTCTCTCCTTACCAAAATTTTTTGTTGTATAATTCTATTTTCAAGAAAAATTTCTAAACTTCATCCATCCACATTTCTAAAAAAAAAAACAATTTCCTTTAAGTTCCCCTATTCAGTTGTCTTTAAAATTAGTTTGAATAAATAATCATTAAACAACCACAACTTGCCTTATTGAAAAGATACCGATAACCTGCTGATCTGTTTTGAAATATTTTGAGTTCATTAAAACTGGACATATTTCCTTTGTTTTTCCTTTTGTAATTTTGCTCTTTAGAATTAAATTGTTTTTAAGTTTCTGAAAGAAAACTTGAAAAAATATGTATACAAGTGTGTGTGTGTGTAGACACACATGCACACATTACTCTTTACCTGCCTCAAGAAATTTTTAAACCTTTCTTCTATAAAAACCTGCCTTTTTAAATTATTTGTGCTAACATCCTTTTGATTATTTACTTATTTTTTGTAATATACCCAGAATATTAAATAACATAAGGCATATTTTAAGCTCATACTAGCAAAAGTTGTTAAACTTTTTTTTGTAACCTATAAATATTTACCTCATTTCAAGAGTGCCTAAGAAGTTTTAGTCTTTTTTAAATTTATTGTTTTATACATGAGAACTTTTGCTCATTCTTCCAACCTTATGCCTACTCTCTCTCATTCACATAGTATTTCTCTCTCTCTCTCTCTCCACTTGTAAAGAAATTATCTGTAATAGAAGCTATAATATACAGATTAGATTTAAGCAAAATATCTTTTGAAATGCCTTTTTATTTTAGTTTCTTTGCAAATGGTTTTAGATAAAAACTAAAATGACACAAGGTAAAATATTAACTGAAACTGAGTTCATTTGAATTTTTAGTTATTTTGTATCATTGGAATCGCTCACCAAATCCAATTGACTTTTTTCCCTCCAGTACAATAAAATCTCTCCAGAGATTCATTATAATTTTATATACTTTTATGAATGGAAAACCTGTTTTGGTGAATTATATTTTATGATCTTATGAAACAAAAGGTTTTGTATACCTCTAAATTAATAATGGGATAAGTTTTAAGACTTTATAGTTTTCTCTTGCCAAAGTAATTTTCTTGTATATGTAGACCAATATTCTTAGAGATCCCTTGTTATGACTAGCCTCTTTCTGTTTAATATCTACTAGTCTGTAATCATGATAATCAAACAACTGCAACAGTTTAGATCAAAACGTGTAATGATAATTCTGGTCTTGATGTCTGAGATGAGAAATTGGAAATATATTTGGACTTTATTTCTTTGAAACTATTGTTCTTATCTTTGATTATTGCAGATACACTTCAGACAAGTGCCCTCTGGCCATCTTCAGGTGCCTATTATTTTGGCTGATATGGAATGTGTGTTGTTCATTGTTATTTTTCTCCCTTGTAATGCCATTTCTTGCTGAACCAGAGTATCAAGTTTCACTACTTGATTCAGGAATTGAACTCACGGCAACTAGATAACAGGGACACTCTGATAAGCTAATGGTAATGTCCATATCTCTCATCTATCAAAATAATGGACACATAGGATGGTCACAGTGGATTTGGCTGAAATGTATTTATAATAGCATCTATATTAAGCAAAATGAGAACAATAGATTAATAATAAATAAATCTCAAAAGTGTAATATGATAAAATGGAAAATATTCACACAGTTGAATAAAATGGCAGAGAAAAAAAAAGTAAATTCAAACCCCCAACAGTCCATCCATCCATAAAAACAATTTTTCTCCCTTTATATAATAGGGGAAAACTACCTTAGCTGTTGATTATATTGAGTCAATAAATTTTTAGTTTTGTACACATCATTGAAACGGTCAAGGTGTAGAATGATTTATTGTACTTAGTTGCACTAAGTCCCGATTGCCATTGTGTTTTTTTTTTCTTCTTAAATTACTATTTTAGATAGAAGGAATCACTTGTAAAGGCATCTACCTTAATCTGGCATAAGTGTTAAGATGCTCAGCAGACAATTCTGTGATAAACCAGTGTCTGCCTCCTCCTATAGACTATTTTAAACTTTGTGTTTTTTTTTTTCTTTTTTACTTTAATATATTAGTAAATTTGCTCATCATATCAGGTGTTTTTTGTTGTTTTTTTTTTTACATACTACTTATCCCAGTCAGTGAAAAGTTTTGAAATCAAGTTATTTTCTTATGGTTAATGAGCATTATTTAATCCTAGAAAATAAACCATATGGCTTTTTTTTTTTTAATATTAAGAGAATCACTTGATGGTCAAGATAGTTGTTTGGTCTTGAGTATATAAAAAAAGAAAATTCATCTCTTTAATGTCTATATATATATATATATATATATATTTTTGTCCCCTTTCCAACCAATGTATGTTCAGGTTTTCTGATTGTATTGATAACTTGTCACTGGTTGAAAACATCAATCTTCATTCGACAAGTTGAGTAATATTTGTTCACAAATGTTGGTTGTTATTCTTGATGATCTGTCCATTTAAGAATATAATCATTTGTCTTCCACTTTTTTCTTAACCAGAAAAATGAAATTATAATCATTTTCCCCCTCCACAGAGACACAAAAGAATGTCTAACATTTTGATCAGCATATTTTCCAATCATCTATTGTCTATGCATCTTACTTATTCAAAGATAAATGATTAGAATTTGAAAAGAAAAACAGAACAATACTTTCTCACTGAAAATGTTTTTTTTAAAAGCTAGAAATATGAAAATCTAATTTTAAGATCTCAAATTGCAAAGTATAGAACCGTCATTTACAATAGGCTGATTTAAAAGCATTTTACTAAAATAAAAATCATGAATTGAAACAGGAAGTCTATATATCAAACATTTTTATAAAACTTTACAATAGTATCTTTTAAATTTATTGTAAACAGTTTTTCTTCTTGCACACACACTATATATATATATATATATATATATATATATATATATATATATTAATTATCAATGAAGTAGGCTCCTTGATAGCAGGATTAGTGATAGACTTTTTTCTTCTGTTAAATATATTTCTGCAGAAAATATATTTGTATTAAAATTTTTTAAAATATTAATTGCTAGAATCTTATCTATTTTTAAAAGGTTATTCAGTATCATGATTTAAAATCAATGTATGCTACTTTGAAATCATACATGTTTAATTTTATGTGATATATTAATACTTGATTTCTTATAAACAGAGTTCATTGAGGACATTTACTTGAATTTAGTAAAAGATGCATGAATCATGAAAGAAGAGCTACATTTGAGAAAAAAAATTGGCATGAATAATCTTGACACCTAATTAATGAATCTGCCATTAGCATGGATTGCTGCTTCAGTACAAAGTCTGAAAGGTTGACATACCCAAATCAGATGATCTTTATCTATTTTGGATATTGTGCTAGTTATGGACTTTAGTGATTTTATAGGGTTATGGGGGGGGGGTATTGATCGACTTCCTTTTTGACTGTCTCATACATCGTGTTCCAATGGATTCAAGTTTGGAGAGCTAGGCCATTTGTTTGGAGTAAACATTGTAACTTGGTCATTTTGCCTTATGAGATGGTGCAGTCTTAGTAGGTGTACTATCTTCCCTCATTCACTCTCTCTCCAACAACACCTTAGCATTGGCCCTTAATCTCTGAGGAAAGAAGTGGGGGAGCATGACATCTCACTTGTTTCCCATGACTCCCAGAACTATCACAGTTGCTGGAAAGTTTGTGTGCATGATTGTTGGAACATCCTTAAGATCTCTACATAAATATCTGTCATTCCTTTGATTGACCTTTTAGTCCTGATCACTTTTTTTTTTCTGATGAGAAAAACCAAAGCATTCCAGGCTATTGATGCTCACCAAGTGCTTTGTGCAGATGGTTTTGTCTTTGCAGGCATCAGATTGGCCTCTTCACATCACATATAACTTGTATTGAAGATTCTCAGGCACAATTCTTTTGACAGAGTTCTTTAGCAATGACATTGACTTTATGGAAGTTGTCAATTTTCTGAACCTTTCACACAAATTTGGGTGTTCTGATGGTATTATTACATTTGTTTGGTAACTGCTGCAGAATCCCCATCAGCAACTTACAACTCTTTGCAAACTTTGATAAACGACAAAGTCTAAATCATTGTACTCTGCCTTTAAGCATGTCATTTCACTTGCTTACTTAGAGTGATGTTTATTATTTTTCAGATAAGGTTTTTCAGATTAAGGTTTTTTTTTTAAAAAAAGATTTTTCATCCTTAAAACATTAAGTTATTTTCAAGGAAATTTGATCATTTCAACTTTAGAGGCCGTCCATCAGTCTGCCTGCCTCTCTACAGTTAATATTCACTTGAATTTTTCTTTATATAAATTATCCTACTTCAAAAATAATATCTGCCTTGAATGTAGGATGTGTCGCATTGTGGGTTAATAGGGCTTCTTTTTTTTTTTTGTACAATTCAATAAAAATGCAGTTTGGGAGCAGGAGCATCACCTTTGAAAAATCTTATACATTTTACTTTGGGTTATGATTTAGCAGTTACTAATTAGTGATTCTAATTAGTGTGACAATTTGATTAAATTGCCTGTAGTGCATGAAAATAGAGCAGTAAAAAAAAAAAAGCCACCATTGGAAGAATCCCCTACCAGAGATGGCTGTCCTTTCTGTTCATCCTAATTTTTTTTTTTTTTATTATATATAAAACATTTGAGATTAGAATTTAAAGAATAACCCTAGGATAATTATTTACAATTTAACAGTTTTTACAAGTACTAGGTTAAGTGGAAACATGACTTGTACAGTGGAAAATGTGCTGATCTTGCTTGCCCTTGTTAATGAATTTAAACTTCAGTGGGTGCTTCCCAAATGTGGTCTTGTTCTAGAAGGAGCATAATTTTGTACTTGTTAACTTGGACTAAGTGCTTAAAACATTTTTTTTTTTTATTCTCCACCTTAGTTTATAAGGCTCAGCCTAACTAGGTAAGCATTTATAAATAAGTTTAATTTTAAATAAAGTGAAAATACTGTCCAAATAAAATATTACTTTCAGCTCTGGCTGGGAAGAGTTTGGCAATTTTTCCTGAGTAAAGTCAGTTTTATATTAACTTATTTAGTAAGGATGCTTAGCAAATTTATACTTTCCATTTGAAATTTTAAAATATTACATTTTTGTATCTGTTTTTCTTGGCTATGTTATCTTTTCAATGTCACATGTATTTGACAAAGGAATTTGTTGTTTTTTTTTTTTGAGGGTGACTATGGTTCTATCAACAATCCTTTCTCCCTCAATAGAAAGAAATTCAGTAGGTAATGAAGGGGGGGACTGTAGTTCATTCTTAAACTGAAAAATGATTTGAATTTTCATTTCCCCTTTGACAAAATTCAATTCTCTTTAAACATAAAAAACTGTGGCAAATCCTTAATAGCCCCCCAAAAAAAAACAAATACCTGCTTAATTTTTTTTGTCAATTATTCTTAGCTTAGTGGAGATTGAGAGATTTTCCTTAAACAAATTTGAAATACTTTCAACGCAAACAAGAAATGATTTCTTGGACTTACACTCACCACCAAAAGGCCTATGATATTTATGGAAACCATGACAACTGATTTTTTTTTTTTTTTTATAAAATGCCTTTCAACCTCATCAACTCAATTTCCTTCCTCTTTAATATTTTTTTTTTTTTTTTTTTTTTTTTTACACTACTATATTGATAGTATTGAACTCCCACTTTCAAACCACAAATGTTTGTAAATTTTTCATTGGCAAGAATCCTTGTTGTTCTTTCCTTATTGACATTGTCTAATTCAAAGAAAAGATGAAGTTTCCATTTACCCATTCTAAGTTTCAGCTTTCTGGCTGAAGATATTTCCATTTTTTTTTTTTGTATTTAAAAGGAGTTGGAAAGGGAGTAAAAATCTGTAAAAATTATTAACACAAGAAATCCCCCTATTGTATGTATAAATTTAAGGAGCTAAAAAAAAAAAAAAAAAAAAAAAATCAAAACCACTGGACATTTGGTAAGATCCTCCACCCCATTCATATTGTGTGCATTTTGTTTTTGTATCTTTTCCTTTTGAAGGAGAAAAAGTTGCAAAATTAAAATTGTCTGCATTTTGATTGGAAACAAAATGTAAATGTGCTTGTCGATGAATTCCACTTAAAGCAACCAGTTTCTTAATAAAAAAAATAAAACAACTTTGGTTTCAAGCTTGTTGATCTTGTATTACAAAAAAATCATTGACATGTTTATTTACAGTTTTTAAGGAATTTTCAGTAATTGAAAGAGTGTTCAGTTTATATGAAATGCACTTAACATGAAGTAGAGATGTATATAGAGAAAGAAGTTGCTGCATCTCAAAGTAAAAACTATTTCCTGGAGAGGATTTGACTTTTTTTTTTTTTTTTTTTAAATAGATTTCCCTACAATTTGGCAAAAATTACATGTTATTGTACTAAAACAAGACACACACAAACCTTATCAAGTTTGTATTCATAAAAAAAAATTATTTCTATGGAAGGAACAGGTTATATTTCTTGTGTCTGACATTTTTGCATTGAGATTTTTTTTAATACAGATTAAGCATTTATGGATATCACTTTAAAGAAAATGTTTAAGATTTCAATAACAAGAAAAGTCTTTCATCATCTGACAAGTTTATTTTAACCAGAGAAAGAAATGTTTCAAATTTACATTTTTGGCAAAATGTATCTGTAAAGACTTTTTTTTTTTTAATATAAATAAACTAAGCAAGAGAGGTTAATGCATAAGTTATGTTATTAAACGGAGGAGGCAGGGATAAAATATGAAAATAAGGGAAAGTTTTCCAGTTTATGATTTTGTGCAGGGGTGTGAATCTGAAGACCTTTATGGAGGTTTTTTTTTTTTTTTTTGTCAACAGATTAGTCAGCTGTAAGTTATAAATTTTTTTTTTCCCACCTTACAAATCATATATATATATATATATATATATATATATACACACACTTATTTATATTTAAAACAATTTCTGCATTATCAGAAATTAAATTTATTTATAGAATTTCCACATGGAACTCTTGGGTGCAAAATATGATAAAAATTCACTTTATTTGGAATTTTACTTATTCACCAATGCCAAGGTTTTATTCCTCATAATTTTGTCAGTGTGCAGGCTTTATCACAACATATCCACATGATATTAATACAATATACATTTTAAAAAGGAACAATTTTTTTTTAGAGATTTAACATTTGATAACTATTCAAGCAAACAAGTTGAATAAAATCTTTGAGAATAAAAGAAACCAAATGTGACATTTACACTGATGTTTGGGTGTATTTTTCTTTCGTGTGTTTGTCTTAGATAGTGAAATGGTAAGATGTAGCTGTGGTCAGGAAATAGAGCAGGATTTCTGGTCTCGAGATTGAGATGAACCTGTGCTTTGTGCCTTTGAGAGAGAGAGAGAAAAAAAAAAAAAAAGTGTTACTACATGACAAATACAAGGAAAAATGGTGTTATTTAAAAGAATATTGAATTTTTTTTTTATAGCAAAATCATAATCATTTGATTCCCCCAAAAAAATTACATAATGTAGAAGTAATCTTACTATGAAACAAAAACAAAACCCTAGATTACTTCAAGCTCATTTCTGAATAACTGTAGATATAACATAACTTGTATAGTCCACCCGCCCCACAAGAGGGGAGCAGCAGCCCTGGATTAGAGATTCTCAAATCAAGTTAAGTTTTAAATACTTGAGATGACAGAAATCTGAAAGTGCATTGGAATAGTAAAATATGCCTTCTAAAAGGCTGTACAAAGAAACTGTTTCATTACAAACAGAAAAGGAGTGCTGAACTGCTATGTAATTCTATTCTCTTATATGGCAGTGAATACTGGACATTCCCTTGCACAGGAGTAGATTTCAAGCAAGAAATGTGATTTAACAGAATACTGAGAATATGATGGATGGAATATGTGAGCAATGAGGAAGCTTCTAGGAAAACATTCTATGTACTGTGAGTGATGTATAAGTCAGCATTTAAAGTTTTGCATAGTGCAGTAGAAACTTTATTAATTTTTCTTTAATCGTTTCATCCCAAGAGAGGTAAGATGCAAGGGCTTACTTTGGGTGAAAGAAAATGAGAAGACTTTAGAAGGAACTGAAAATGTAGGAATATAGATGAATTGAAAACTCAATATCAACAATTTTTTTTTTGTGGTGGTGAGGGCATTTTGTAAAATTTCCATTTTTTTTTTTTTTCTTCCTTTTATTAACTAAAAGGAAGACAAGTTATGACTTGTTAAAATATTCCAAATTAAATTTGAAAATAAAGTGGTGCAATCATAAGTTTTAGGAGTTGGCTTAATGAAAAACAGCAACAAACTATATATCACAAAACACTCCTAGTAATAAACTATTTTAAACTCATTACTGGCTACAGTGTGAAAATCATCCTCATGTTATCAAAAAAGATATACTTACATTATGTACACGAGAATTTTCTGCTTGGCTTGCTGCTATAGCTTGGGCAAGTTGAAAGTCTTCCTCTTCTTGCTGTGTCATTCTAAAGTGGAAGGTGGTTGGGGAAAAAAAAAGTCAGTAAAACTACTTGTACTTCAAATTTTTTTTTTGCACATTTTGAAAATAGTCAAGCAAATTTCAAGCATCTAGTTTTCACTTGCATATCATGTAAAAAAAAAAAAAAAAAAAAAAAAAAAAAAAAATTTGTTTTGTGTGTGTGGTCAGTGACTTACAGTGTTTGGTTCTGACAGACCCACTGTAAGATGGCCTGTTTGTAAGTTACACAATGTTAAATTACCGTGCATACAGTATGGTGTTTCATGATACTATAATAACTTAATTTAACTTCTCTCTCACACTCTTTTCATCTACCATTTTCTGTAGCTCTCTATTGTCACTTATTGTTTTCTTTTCTCATTGTCTTTATCTGTTTAATATCTATTATTGGGAAGAGATATGACTTTTATAAACTTGGTTAGCTTTGTCTGAATCATTTTTTTTTTTTCTCATCATAAATTACACAATATGGACCAATCACATGCATTGTCTGTTCAATCATTGCAAAACATTAAAAAATGTTTGGGTCCACTGTATGAAATTGTGCAGGGGCTTTATTGAATTGAGAGAACCCTTCTGATAACCCCTTACTTGTGAACATCCATTGTGGCTTCTTTTAACTTTTGTAAGCCCCCCCCCATTCCTCGTCAAGCAACTCCTTGATATCTATATCACACTCCAATGAAAGGCCTTTTGCCAATTTGACTATTCTGTCGCATATTACATCAAGTTCATTTTCACTTTCAAAACCCAGCAAAAGTATTCACATAGCACTTAATGTTTCCAGAACACTGTTCATGCATTTTCAGTCACATCCCCCCCCCCACACACATGATAGCAACAGTTTTTATACACTTAATTATAGTCTTTCCAAAAGTCACGCAGTGATATTTCTGGGTTGACAGCTCTAGCAGTTATAACTTGAGAGAAGGTGGCTTGCAGATAATTTGCCTTAAAAGGCAGCAATTGAACATTTATCCATAGGTTGAATAAGGGGGGTGTATTTGGGGATTATAAAAAAAACAAAAAAACAAACAAACTTTCGCATTGGGATGAGATCATTTAAGTACGTGGGATGGCCCGGTACTTTATTAAGCAGCAATAAAATCTTGAAGGGAATTCCCCTCTAGACAATACTCATACACTTGAGGAATAAAACAAGTAACTGGTCTTTGAGTAGTCCCTGGGTCATCCATGCTTTATTGTTCGAACGATAATAAAGTGTGCTTGTTAACGTTCTTGAATGCTCATGGGTTTTCACTGTTGTAGATAATGAAAAGTTTAAGCTTGAACCCTCTGATGTTCCCACCAAATAGAAGCATTAGTCTGTCCTTGAACGCTTTAAACGTGGGTATGCTTTTTGCTTCTTTGTGGATGTAAGTGCGTGCAGGCATCTGTTTAAAAAATAACCCTCTTTCAGCCACATTAAAAATTTGTTCTGCATGATAACCCTTTCCATACTTATTTCATCCAAGATTGTTAAACTTAAGAGTTCCTTTCTCATTTGCACTCACTGCTTCTCTAGTCACATGAACATTATGCAATTGGAACTGTAGCTTGAATTACCCAGTACTTGCCACAAACATTTGCATATATTCATCTCTGGCGTGTTCCTTTAACATCTGAAATAAACTTCTTGTCTTTTTCTCGACAGTATAAAAGCTCACAGGTATCTATTTTTGAATTTGGTGTTGATCCAAACGTGAAGTAATTTCTCCATTTTTCATGGATAGGCCTAGTACATTGCTTCATAATAACAGTAGAACTAACAGGGCTGAACCTTTCATGGATACTTTCTTTATCCTTAAGAATCGTCGACAGTTGAATGGGATAAGTTCACCTCACATGCGATTACACTTTGTTTCTTCCTTCATACCTTTTAATAAGGGTCATTTTGTTCTGACAAGCTTTCCCCTTTGATAGCTTAACTTCATGAATTTAAGCTAGTTTTTATTTTATTGTTGTAATTGTTAGAATAGAGGTTATAACTAAGTTTCTTCTCTCACACTTCTTGCTTGTAGAAGTCTTGTTTTTTTTGATTTCCTGTCAACTAGAATTTTCAAAAATTTAAATGCAATGTTAATCATCATCATAATCTGTCTCCTTGAAAAACCTTTTATTGTACTCAGGTTTTCATTATAACACACACAATCTGTCAGAAATTACTAAAATGGATTATCCTTATTTCTAACAATACTACTGGTATATGGATACGAGAAATGTTCCTTGCAAAAGAAAAAAATTACAGTAACAAAAATAGAGGTTCAAAGGGAAGCAGTCACAATCTGATGACAAAACCAGTTTATTTTTCTTCTAATGAAAAATTTAAATTGGATTTGAATCAACTATGCTGGTAACAGCTAAACTTATATCAGATTAAATACAGACTAATTCAAGATCTCAAAGGATTTTTTTTTTTTTACAATAAGAGATTTGGGATTTTGGGGCTTGTATTTGATGATAGAGTAGCAAAAGATTTCGGAAACAAAATATAGAATGTAATGAAATTAGGATGGTGCCTTATAATATATATAAATAAGAAACATTACTTTTACAAAATTTTCCATAAACTTGACCCTTGTAGCAATATACAAGAATGGGTAAAACAAAATTAAGTGCAAGAAAACAATGTTTTGTACTCACTTTTTACTTGCAGGAGCAGCTGCTTGCGGATTATCTTCAAGTGAGAGTTGCAAGGCCTTAGCTAAAGCTTCATCTTCAGACTGAAAAGAAAGGAATTTAAGAACAATGAACAATATCAGAAATCAATACACTATTTTAGATTTTATTAAACAGTCAATGTCATCCCCAAATTGGTATAAACTAACAGGTGTTGTTCAAATTTTTCAAGTAATTGTATGAGCAACAAATGTTAGTTTCAGCTTTTTTTTTCTTATTTCATTTAAACAAAAATAGATATAACTTGTTTTGAAGGTGTCATATTCTGTTATGCAAGCCATTGTAACTAATTTTTATTTAGAACTAGCAGTAGAGCCTGGCGTTGCCCGGGGATGTAACAGTAAGAGATAGATCAAGTATCGGCCATCATAAAGAGTGAAAAATAAAATTGACAAAGATTATTGTTTAAGGTTGACAGACACGTATGTCTTAATTAGTTTTTTTTTTTTACGAATTGGTCAAACCCAAACTCAAACATTGTTTTCAATTGTTATGAGTCTATCGATTGAATAGAATTTTATTATAAACAATTGTCTTGTAAATGGAATTTTTAAAGCATTCTGAATGTAAAAATAAAGAAAAAAGTGTGCCACATAATAAGAAACACTACCTTCTTCAGGCAGCAAATTATGGAATACTGACAATACATCCATCTCTCTCAATTCTTCCACTTTGCAATCTCATCAGGGCACACTGCTCAATTTATCTAATAGTCTGGAACAAGGCATGAGTCAAGAGTTCTTCGTGGCAACAAATCACATGGTGTAATGAAGTGCATCTGCCCCAAATGCTACTCTCTGTCTTCTCACTTATCGGGATCTCTACATGGCTATTTATGGAGTTCCACCTCTAAAAACCGGGCTGGGTTGGCTTGTTCTGGGATGCCTTCGAATCTCCTGTCACCCAATAAAAATCTCTCCATGGGTGCTACTGGGTAGCCCTTTGTATGTCCAGATATGGGACACAACACAAGTCATTACTACTACATCAAAAAACAAAAGACCGAGTACATACTGAACAAAACTAAGTTAAAGCCTGAAGGAGTAATTTACCCCATTGCCTGTAATTGTCACATATACCCGCCCAAAGAAAAAGGAAAAAAAAAAAAAAAAAAAAAAAAAACTACATAGGAGAAAGGAAATTACATGAACACAAAAGGGACATTTTACAAAATAATGCATCAGATGCTTTGGTTACCCACCATAACAAGACTGACATAAAAAATCCTACCATGATCAAAGGGAAAATAATAATTCGCTACAATGTAAATGTCTAGAGACTGCCTTACTCGCAAGGCCATTTACAGTAAATTTGCAACCTCGCTCTTACAACATAAATAAACTTTTACCATTTTGTCATTAAATTTTGACAGCAACATTCTTGATATATAAAAATATATATCGTTATCACACATATATATATATATATATATATATATATATATATATATCTATGAGCATACAAAAACAATTAATGTCCTATATATATCAGGAGGGAAATTATTTTCATTTCTTACCTGTTAATATGGGTACATTAAAAATTTTTTTTTTTTTTTTATACCCTTCAAGATTTTATCATCAATTTTGTTAACTTTTCTACTGCTGCCATTTTAACAGTACTTGCAGTTTTGTTCTTTTTATCTTCCCAGGTCTTTGAAGGTTTTTCCATTTTCATATACAACACTTAATTCACCACAAGTTTTTGAACTTTGAATAATTTTCTGCATTTCTTTTGAACCATCAACTTTGAAGGGCCCTATAATACTACCCAAAATATAATTTGACCTATCCTGTAGCCTCCTAAGTGGTGTGGGGGTAGGTATTTCCATGAAAGTGCCAACATCATGTTCATCCAATGTCGCTCTACATTCATCACTAAAGAATCACTTTGTGATTTTTTTTTTTTTTTTTTACTTAAAAAGGTGATAATTTGGCTAAAATTATGAAAGCAATGTTCTTAATATACTGCATCTTTTCTGTTCACATTTGCCATTTCTTATAATGGTCAATATTTTTTGTTTACTACCCTTTTAAAACCCATCATTTTTTGTTCTTATCTTATTTTTTTGCTGTTCTTTGATTTTTTGAAATTGCAAGATAGTTGAATAAGATTGTGATCCTATCACTCAATATATTATGTTTTTTTGTTTTTTTTTATGGTTACAGCATGATCAATAACAACCATTTTATATATATATATATATATATATAAAAAACACACTGAGTTACATCATAAAAATCTTACAAATAAGTTATTCAAAATGCTTCTAATAAAAATAGAAATATACCATGTAAATTTCACTTATAAACTATATCCTGAAAATTTTTACCAACGTCAGTTAATGAAAATTATGAAAACATTGGTTTACATAAAACTTGATAGTCTTTTAAATGAAAGCAATTATTTGAATATGCTTATAAAGTAATCTCTAAGATTTGTGTAACAGTTGAGAAAATGGTTTACCTCCTGGTAGAAAGTGGTTTCAAACGGGTCTTGTGTGTAAATTATCCCAAAAGAAAATGGCAGCTTTACAAGTCATATATTTAAGAAATGATAGATCATGAGTCGGATATATTTCGCGAGACTCTTTTGTGCCTCTGCAAATTTAACCTGTCACTCAAGCTATAAAATGTGCTTGACAAGGTGACAGAGCAGTGCAATTGTGGTACAAACAGAAGACATGTTTGTTGGATTGTTCGACTTAAGCTATGCTGGTTGGTGAACAAAACAAATTAAGGAACTTACAAATTGTTTATAGATTTTTGTAATAAATAAATGCAACTTTCTCAAACAAATTTTAGTTTTGTAACATTAAAAAAATGAAAATTACTATACAGGAATATCTGTTTATGCAGAATTTAATTCCTAATCAAAATGCTCCAACATACATCACCTGCTTTAGTGGGTGTCAAGGCATACAATGCTGTTTTACTTCACTTTCAGATCATTTTTTATGTAACCCATAGCATTCAACCAGCCCAAACCCGCCCAGTGAATATTGGCTTGCAATGTTCAACCTGCCTCATTTATACTCTGTCATAAATTGTAAATAATGCCAGAAAATCACAGACAGTGAGACTTTGAGAGCCAATATTTATAGTGTGTGTGTTTTGAGCATGTTGAATGCTAAAGGGTTAAATTCCAGTGACAAGCAAGTCAAGTCAAACAAAATGATGAAAATCAGTTGAAGTTAACCGTCAGTTATTATTTACCATGTGTCCTTGAAGGGATGAAGCTGCCATTCGAGTATTCTGACTGCTTCGATTAGTTTTCCTAAAATAAAAGCAAGAGCATTTCAGTTTACATGCATAAGTAGAAGACACTTTAAAGCGATTTAATAAGGTCAAGAAAGTTTTTTTTCAGCTAGTTCAGTCATCCTTATAGAACAATTCTACCATCACTAATCTGTAGCCTAGACAGAAGGATGTAATGTTACACTCTCAGAATTGTGATAAATGATTCAAGAGAAAAGTCAATTGATCAAATTGGAAAAAAAAAAAAAAAAAAAAAAAAAAGGACTACACTTTGCAGAAAAATACTTTCTATATATAAAATTCTGTGACTTTCGTTAGTCTGCCAGTCACACCATCTAAAATAGCCATACATTAAACAATCAAAACCAAATTTTGCAGAGAAGTGCAAGCAGGTAAATGGGTACAGTTGGTTTTACTAGGTTTTGTAGCTTAGTACAATAAATTAATTTTGGAAAATTAAATTTTATTATTTAATATACGAAATAAGTTCACTACATTGTCAATCTTCTAATACTACACTGGGGAGCAGACATCAAATGACTTAACTGCAGCTGCAAACGGCAGTCAAACCACCCCATACACACCTTTCAACAAAGAGATTGACATTTGTAAGGCATTTCTTAAAGGACTTATTTTACTTAACTGGTTGCAGTTTCAGCAATATAATAGACAAGGCCAAACACTTCAAAAAGTTTGAATTTGGCTCCAGAAAGGAATAGTTACGCATGGACAGTTGTATGCTCAAGAGTAAGAAATTCTAAGAATTTATTCTTCGCTGCTAAAAAGGAATAGAAATTTTCTTAAAAAATATTATGTACCATGAAGTTCTATAAAATTAAAGAAATTATTAGTAGTCTTTTTGTCAAGTATTTTTTCCAAACAAATCAGCTTATTCAAATTTCATAGACAAAAATGTTAGTAATAACTTCAACAATACTAAATATTGTGAGGATTTCAACACACGCTAGCTTGTTGCAAAAATTCCTTAAGAAATATCTAATTGTAAATGGCTTCAGCTTTTTTTGATTTATTATCATCAATTCTGTAACTGATTATTCAAACTACCTTTTTAATTACTTTTGGACAGAGTTCATATTTGGAGATTAATTCTGATTATTTTTTATACATGTTCTCTTCCATTGTTTATAAATTCCCCAGCTTCAAACAAATTGCCTATCAATGAATAATTACGGCATCATTTTAAATGATTGGGGAGGAAAAAAAACAAAAAAACTCCTTACTTTTCTGGTTGTTTCGAGTGTTGTGAAGAATTTACAATGAAAGGTCCTGTGGAAGTTCGTGTTCCGCTAGCTCTGCGAGAGGAAGTGGATGAGGGATAAAAAAAAAAAAAAAAAAAAAAAAAAAGAAAAAAAAGAAAATTGAATTATTTAACATCAACAGAACAATTATTTACAATTCCCCTAGTTGACAACATTCTCCAAAATAATGGCATATTATCTTTACTTTATCTCAGCTTAAGGATAAGAAGTGCAGAGAATTTTCATTTAAGAGAATTAAAATTTCCAATGTTTTTGTGGCTAAATTTACAACTGACAAGTGCTAGAAGCATTAAAACTTGGTATCAATCTTCGTATGTTTGTGGGGAATTTATTTTTGCAAATATTTTCAGAAAACAAAACTGATACATGGTCAAAAATCCTAACTGTCCCTTGGAATGACAAAGATAGCAAGTAAGATTTCTTTTCAATGGACTGATGCACAAAGAATAGGGAATAATGTTTCCTTGAAATGACCAGTTCTTGTGTATATAATATAGAATTTTGATTAAATAAATAAAAAAAAATTTTTTTTCATATTGGTCAAAACTTTCAATAAACAATTTGCATTGACAGGTTGAAAATGAGAGTTAATTTATGAGGCTCAAAATAAAAATATAAAACATGCTTGCAACTGTTATCTAAACATTAAGGTTCAGCCATAGTTATTCCTTTTTATATTTCTTCATAAAGCCTCATTTAAGTGAATATTTGCTCACAAACATTCCAACAATCTAATCCACAAGTAGACATTACTTGACTGAAACAGTAATAAACTATCAACAAAATTTGCCATATAACAACTTCTTTTCAGCTATCAGTGAGCTTACAAAAAGATTATATTCACCTATCATAAAGAATGTTTAGTGAGAATTATATTATAAAATGAAATCCTTACCCTGCTTTTGACATGGCCTGGCCAGAGTTATGTGTGCCATAGCATTTATGGTCCTGTTCATGTCTGTGTTTCAGGCAGAAGTTCTTCTGACAGCGATCACATGTCACTGGAATTAGCTAAAAAGTGAGGAAATAAGCATCAACAAACTATACTGAATATATCTCCAGTTTGATACTTTCAAACAAAACGTTTGGACATTAAAAGGCATACAAGTAAATATACCTTTTGATACCTTATGACCGTTAACCTGCTTTTCTTTAACTGAAATTTCATGCTCATCCTTATCACAAACACTTGCTTACATAAATAGCATGCTTTTGTAATTATTTTGAGGAAACTTCAGTATTAGCTGAAAAGTTCAAGTAACCTTTAAGCTGTCCTCACCTCAAAGATATATCAATCTACTTTCACAAAATTCATCATTCATTGTTTTCTGTGACAGTTCAGGAAAAAGTCCTTTAAGTGTAGGATAACTTAATGAAATAGCACCCACTGTACAGTCATCAATCCACTAGAGTAATAAGTCTTTCCATTTTATCTAGTTACCTCCCCATAGTTTTGATATGTTGGTTTAAAATTAACTTTTATAAATGAAAAGTTTTAATTGAAAGCTAAAAGCATTAAAATGTAGGTACCTCCATGAGATCACTGGAAAATGAGCACAGCATGATAAAAACAGCCTTAAACTTGACGAAAACAAAATTTTGTTAAAATGTTTGTTACTATTAAGAGGAAAGAACAAAATATTTCTTAATTTTTTAAAATTTTTTCTGCTTTTTTTTTTTTTTAGAAAATTCTAACTTTTGATCAAGGAAAAACAAAAAAAAAAATCTTTGTTTCTCTTCGTTGGCAGAAGTACTAAATAACAGCAAACTGCATTTTTATTTTTTTTCAATGACAGACATTAATTTTGAAAATTTTGCAAAATTGTTGGAATTTAATTATTATTATATATATATATATATATATATATATATATATATATATATATATCTATCTCACCCCACCCACCAAATAATTTTATGAAAACTCTAGAAATTCAATGTTAAAACAGACAAGTCATTATATTAGTTTAAAGCACAAGGCTTTAAGTAAATTTAAAAAAAAAATTGAACCTCATCTACCTAAAAATCAGCTCTGAACTGTAACATACAAAACTCAATAAAATGAAGATATTTAATTTTAAATACTTTTAATTGCTTTATGAATATGCATAATATTGTCTGAAGACAAAAAATTTTTTTGATGAAAAATGAATTTTTAAAAGAATTGTTATTTCTTAAATTATTTTATTATTTTCACATTAAAGTTGTTAAATATTTTAAAATTAGTGGAAATGGTGAATCCTCTACTTAATGGTTTTATTAAGTCGCTTTATCTGTACAGATTATAATTGCACAAGCTTTTTACAATCAATGAGCCTCCAGTTAGAAAAATCTTACTGTTCCTTGTCTTTTGTGTCCATAAAACGGCTGTAATTCAAATGTACAGAAGCCTGGAAGAAACAGGATACAATAAAAACGTCACGTGATTTGATTTTGTATGTAATGTTGTTTGGCGCTGTTAACAACCTTTACATTTTTACATTTACATTGGGTGAAACACGAAAATTTCACGAAAGTTTGATACCAGTTACAGTGAATTTCTAAACCTGCTCTTACTTGGCTATGAAAAATAAAATAAAAAGTGTATATGATTATGTAACTATTAGGAAAAAAAAAAAAAAAAAAATATGCCTTTTCAATATTGTCATATAACTTAAGATTAAAAAATTAAAAGTGTAAAAAAAAAAAAAAAATGTATAGCATTTCAACTTATAAGGGTACATACAAAGTATTATGTACCTATCTTATGAAATTTATGATCTTAGTTTTATATTATCTCAGTTATGTCATTTTTCCATATCTAAATTAATAATAAAAAAGCAAGTAATGTTTGTTTGAAAATATATTAAATAAACTTTATAATTTCTAATTTTCTTAAATTAGATTTTTAAAAATTATCTATTTTTAAAAACTTTTTAAAAATGGACAATTTCATTTTCATAAACAAAAGTGAAAAAAATGACTGATGATTGATTTTCTGTCAAATTTGCTGATAAAATTTTTTTTTTTTTTCAATTTTTGATGTTCTAGGAATGATTAAAAAAAAAAAAAAAAAAAAAAACTTTAATCTTTCCTCTTGATAATAAACATTTAGGCAGTAAAAAAAAAAAAAAAAATTATTTTTATCAAGTTTAAGGCCCTTTTTATTCATGCTATTTTTTTATTGATCTCATAAACATACCTAATTAAATGTAACATTTTCCAGTAAGCAAACAAATTAGATTGATTGGAATCTCACTGTTGGTCATTTAAAAAAAAAAAAAAAAAAATCATTTAAATTCATCCATCTTGACACATTTGTAAACAAAATTTAATTCTCGGTTTTAAAAATCTTCCAAAAATGAAATATATATTTGTGAGGAAAAATTAGTAAATTTAAAATTAAATTAATCCGTTTTGAAACAAATATAGCAATTTATAGCATAAAACAGTATACAAGCATTTCTTAACCACAGGGTTTGTTTTTCTGACATGTTGATTGATTTATTGACAGTCTGATGTGTTAACAGTATGGGTGATCAGAATTGACAAATTTATGCAATCTAAGTGAACGTTTTTTAGTTTTTAACTAGTAATTCTTTAAAAAATTAACATGTTTTCAGTAATTATATATTTTATTGAATTTTAGTTACTTTAGCTTTATAGCCTTATGTTTATAGATGCTTTCTGAAAAAATAAAATTTCAAATACTTTAAATCTTAAATTTAAAAATTTAATAACCAAGATAGTAATGAAATACCATGATAGAGGCAACTCAATTTATGAAATGTTATGGCATTCTAAATTTTATTAGTTACATAATTGTTTGACACTTGTTATTTTAATCGAATACCCTATTTAAAAAAAAAAAAAAAAAAAAAAAATTCTTGCAAATTATAAATCATTTAAAATTCTGCATTACTTCAATCCTGTGGTCTGCAATTATACCAATATCCATTTCTGTGTTTCATCACCTTTACAAATCATCCCATCAAAATTTTAAAGTAACTTTTATTTTTTTTTTTTAAATTACTCTTTCATTATACATTTTATTATTTATATTGTGAAAGATAGATATGTGTGTGTGTGTGTGTGTGTGTGTGTGTGTGATGATTTGCAAAAATGTAAAAGGTGATGAAATGAATAATGATATGATTGCAGACCACCAAATTGTTTTGTAGGGTAAGACAACTCTTAAAACATGTGACCTTTTAAGGAAAAATGACTACCATACTTACAAAAATGGGAATGTTTATACACTTAAAAATTTAAAAATCTTTCAAAAAATATTGGGTGGAAACAATAGAGCTTTTCATATTTGTAAATATAGTTTTAATTATATAAATAACAATATCACTTAACTGGATTGAAGTAATGCAGAATTTTAAACAATTTATAATATAAAATTATAAATTATTATAAGTAAAATTTAAAAAAAATGAAAACAGTTCCTGTAAAAATTATTCATTGAAAAAAAAATTCTTAATACAATAATAAATCTTATTTATAAAAGCAATTAAAAGCTTTTCTAATTAAATAATTAGATAGTTTTATTGGATTTTTCATTTTGATTCAGAGCAGATTTTTTGCTAACTAGGTGTCCTGTTTTACAACAACAGCAAAAAATTGAAATTTCATGACATTAAATGGGAGTAACATGTTAAAAAAAAAAAAAAAAAAAAAAAAAAAAAAAAAAAAAAAATTTCATTTTTGAATAAGTCCTAAAAGATTTATTAAAATATGACAATTATTTCATTTTTGCAAGAATTTCCAAATCAATGTGTTTTTCAACTGGAACAAAAAGGTGCTAAAACACTATTCGTAAATATTACATAGACTGCTGATGTGAACAAGATTTTTAACCAAAATTTCAAAACATTCTAGAAAAGATTAACAAATTTAATAAAATCATAAAAATACTTTGGTCTTTCCACTTAATAAACATTTTGACGATAAAACTTTTTTATTAAGTTGTGACATTTTTTCATCATGCTAAGCTGTTTTTCAGCAAAAAAGTGGAAGTACCTAATTTTATCCATTGTTGAATGCTGATTAAAAAGATTATTTTGCTACTAACAGAATCAATTGTAATTTTGACTGCTTTTAAGATTTGCTTGGAATATAAATGGTGGACACGGGCAAGTGCAACATGTGCAATATCAGTCATTTGCCATAAGCCAAACAAGATTTCTCAGCTTGTTCTCATGCCACAAAACATTTTGCCAATAGATGCACAAAATAAATTATGATAAACCATGTTCGAAGCTATAGAAACTTTATTTTGAGTATAGTTAGTGGAGAAGGCACTTGGTGGTAACATTCACTTCATGGCCTCAATAACGACTCCCTGCAACACAAATGCTAAATACGATTATCATGTTTCTTCTAATGGAAAAAGTAGCAAAATTGTACCTTGAGCAGTTTTTATTGTTAAAATGTTAGAGGGGCATGATTACAAAAAATGGCAACAATGAAACAAAAATTATAAATGGTTCAATAATGCTAATAGATTAATTTTTTTCTTATTTTCACTTTAGAAGTCAAACATCTTGGCCAACCAATATCTGAAGGATGATGCTATTTACTGTATTCTTTTCCTAAAACATAACAGAAAAAAAAATCATGTGGATCAATATAAATTAATAAGATATTGATTTTAATTTAATACATCTAAGGAAGAAAAAAATTCTTGGTAATGATTAAATGCTACAAGAAGTTTTGATATCTAATAAAGTACAACAGAAGGAATATATTCTCATGTGAAAAATCATTTAAGTGTAGCTTACCCACAAATAATTAGTGAAACATTACAACTTTAAATCACTATGTCAAACAAAAAAAAAACTCACCTCTTTCTGTTTACATCCTTTGACAGCACATTTATTAGTGTAAATCTGAAAGAAAAAAAAACTATGATCAGGTTTTCACTGCTCTTCAAAGATCCAAATATTTTCCTAAACGGATATTACAACATGGAGACCATGACCAATGGATGAAAATTCTTAAAAAGGGCCTTATAAGAAATAAGGAGAGAGAAATGGTCAATTCAGAATTTCTGTTCAGTGGAACTGCTGCTGTCATAGTATGAAAACAAAAACCACCAAAAAACCAAAAAGCAACAAAAGCAACCCCCACCCAAAAAACCCCAAAGAAAACACAAAAACACCCCCCAAAAAAACGAAACAAAAGGCTAATTTACTTAGATATATCACTCCAAAATAGCTTACTTTCTCCTCAAATTCAAGAACAAGTATTTTTATTTTATAAAAGTTTGCAATCAGAAATGCATCCTTAAAAAGCAGTTTATCACATTAATACATTATGGAAACAAAAAGGCATCCCCCAAGACCCTCACACATATAAAGATATTTCAATTGGATTCATTATGGTGAAAGTATTAATGAAGATTAGGTTCTCATCATTTTATGAAAACAGTCACAACTCAATTTGGCTTTTGTTCTGGTAAGGGATGTAATGATGGCATATATGTCATCAGTCAACTCCAGAAAATTGCATACCTTTCTAAAAGGAAACTATACTGTCCCAAAAAATAGTATTCAAAATAAACCTTTCTAAAACAGAAAATGCTCTGGATGTTGGATTTAACGGTATGTCAACTCCTATTAGAAAATGCTCTGGAGCTGAAATGAAAGCTGTATGGCACCTACCTTGAATCCATCATAAAAATTCAAGATGTGAAATTAGTAAATACTAAACACTTCAAATACCTTGGTGTATAGGTCAGTGTCGGTTTCCATCCAATGGGAATGTTCACTAAAAACATCCCCACCAAATTTATAGACAAATCATATAGATGCATGCTGGGATTTCTTCCTAACCAATAAAAATAGACCACTTCTTTGTCTCATCTACCATATTTTTGTTCTCTTGAAGTCAGAACACTACAATCACTTGACTGTATCCCTTTTGCATGTGAACATTTTTTTTTTCTTTGTGAACTTATTATAAAAGTTTTCTCTCCCCAGTTAGTGGTCAATAATAGGGCAGATATAACTAGCTTTGGTAGTCAACCAGTCTAGAAGGACAACTTGAAATTCAAAACCAGTTTGACGTGGGGCCAGCAAATATCTTGTAAAAACCTACTTGCTACAGAAACCACAAAAGCGAAACCCATTTTGGCAAGTCTGTGGCCTTTTATGGTCCACAGTAGAGTCTACAGAGTTCACACACACACAAAAAAATGTTTGTACAGGAAATAGCAAAGTTATTCAATATCTTAGCATTTATAGTGGTTTTAATATTACCTTTCTTCGCTGCCTTGCTGGATCTGACTGGCAGTCATTGTCTATATGGCTACCAACAACAACGTCTGGTGATTCCCCCTTTTTTAATGGAATTGCTGCATTGCACAAAGGACAAACTGGAACTTGGTTATCCTGAAAAAGAGACAAATATAAAATAAAACAACTTAAAACAAAAAAAATGCTATTCTAATTTTAAATATTTTATGACTTTGCTCTTAATAAATTTCAATGTAGTTTGATATTGATTAAAATTCTGTGAATCATGTATTTAATTGGGAGAAAGAAATATATTGGTCCCAACAGCCACAACATCCTCTTAGATTGCCTTGTCACTCATTGAAGAATCAGTACATTATCATTCATAAAAATGTTAGGATGAATTTAATACAAACTTTTCTATATAGCACTGATAACAGTAACACTCTTAATAAGGACCAGAGATAGTCAAAAGTACTCATTTATAAAAAAAAAAAAAAAACTTTGGATAGTTTCTCTATAAATTTGATCTTGATACACTAACTTATGCAGACTAGGTCCATTTTGATTAAATTCCTGCTGTCTCAGTACATATGGCCACTTTCTCACTGAACACAGAGAATGGCTAAATGACAAAATGGGGGAGGGGGGAAAACAAACAAACAACAAAAATGTTTTTAATCAATAGGATCAATATGTACAGGGAGGGAATGAAATAAAACAAATGATTATAATTTCACATTAACAAAAACATACAAGGAGGATATTGGAAAGGTTTGGCACCTTAAACCTGTGAAATTTAGTCTTGCAAGTGGTCTCGTAATGCTATCAATGAAGACAATGATACAAAAACAGAAGTATTAGTGAAAAAGAGGTCTCTCAGGTTTTAATACAAAAGGTGATAAAGAAAAAGAAAGAGAAAAAAAAAAGGTTTTGTTTTACAGATGGCATGTTAGCTATTCACTTAGCTGGAACCTGCATTATATATATTTTACATAGACTTAAAATAAAAAAAATTCCCGCATTACTAACAGTATCTGTCCCAGAGGTGTGAATTTCTTTGTAAGAACTTTTCAGCCCTTCCTCAAGGAAGATCCAGTAGAGTGGGAAAATCTATAGATGTGATCAAAATACCAGATTTTACAGCATACTAAAAATTTTCAAAAGCATAGAAGCTTTGTAGATCTCAAGTCCAATCTTCATGCTTGAGGTGAATTTGACAGTCAATCTTTAAATGGGAGGGGAGGCAAAACTGAAAAAATATAATTTCAGCTTGCATTTAAGTTTCAATATACAAGCAATATTTCTGATATAATGCATTAATGATATTCGACTTTTACAATGAAAGGAAGGTTTATATTTTCTGTAATTGATATTAATTTAATACACATGTAAACTTCATTCTGGAGAAATTGTTCTCATTCTGCTATCCATATCAGTAAATGCCAGTTGAGTGCCGCTTGAGGAAACAGTGCTAAGTAACAATTCCAACTTTTCTATCATCATCAGGCAATTTTCATACTGAGATATGATAGCTCCAGTTGAGGAGGTTGCTTTGAATATCTTTAAGAAGCAGGCAGATGAGCTAAATTGGAAAGTGAGACAAGCACTAGAAAAGGTCAAGCCACCTACTTTAGATGATCACAAGGGAAGAAATGTTGGCCATCAAAACTCTACAAAGTGATGCTAATATACTAGCAGGAGACAAAGGCAGCATTATGGTAATGATGGACTGAGAAATTAGCAAGTCTAGTTGGGAGTGGTAGCTACAGCAAAGTGAAAATGATTCTGACCTTAAGAGTCAAGAGGAAGCCACTACAGATCCTAAATAACACTACACTACTTCACAAAGGAATGTGAATAGGCATAGATAGCCGACTCAACATTACACTCAGTTGCAACATATGGTTTTCAAGATTCATAAAGATTCCATTGATAACTAAAGTGAACTGTAGATGCTTGGCAATAACTGTGCAATATTAAAAGAACGAGACAAGATATCCCTTAACATGGACAGCAGAATGCAAATGATTTACACTCTGTAGATTAAATAACAGATTCAGTTTGAAATTCCCTGCAGGTTAACTAGATCATCATAGACTCAAAGAAGACTGGAGAGCATAACAGTTGAAATGAGATAAGATGACTGTAAATAATGATAATTCCTCATCTTAGATATTCAGGCAAAGGAAATACCAAGAAAATGTTCAAAACATGTGTTACTATAGTGAATATCTATATAATAGAAGTATAATATTAGAAGGATGAAGAAATTTCAATGTAATTAAGTGATTGAGATTTTACCAATATGATGTAACGTTGAAATCACAAGTGGAAGAGACATTTTACAGTAAAAGTTTCAAAAAATTAATTTGTTGGAGGAGCTAGAAAGTTGAAGTAAAACTGTGCACACTGCTATTGAGAATTTCAAAAATTTAAGACCATTTAGTGACAAGGAGAGAAGTGGACATCCAAGAGAGACCACTGCTAGAGAGGACCATTTAATGAAACATTGATAGACAAGCCCCCAAAATCCTTCTAAGAAGATACATGCTGCTGTGCATCAAAATGGTACAAATGTCAGTACTATGACAGTTTCATGTTGTTTGAAATCATTTAAACTAGCTTGTAAACCATGGTTAACTGTAGCTATGAAATCCAATCATCTGGCATTTGCTAAGCAACAACATTCAACTTGGACAGTCAAAGACGAGCAAATTTAGGTTTCCAGATGAACCTACTCTGCAACAGATAGAAACAGATGACCCCCGATAAGAGATTTTTATGAAATGTATATAATTCAGACTATGAAGCAACCACCAAACCAGATGAAGTGCTTGTTCAAATCTAGAAAGTTGTAACTCTAATTTATGCCTCAAAGAACAATAATGAATAGTGCAAAGTATATGAAAATACTGCTGGAGAAACTGAAATTGCCCATTCATCAGTGCATAATATTTATGCATGATGATACTCCAGGATACCAAACAAAGGTTGGTTAGAATTTTTGAACCAGATCAATATGACAACAGTGGACTGACTGAGGAACAGTTCAGATCTGAACCCAATTGAAAATTTATGGGAAATCATCAAAAACAAAGTTGCAGAAAAACTACCTTTAAGTAGTAAAGCACTGAGAGAGGCTACTAAAGAAGTCTGGTTTTGATTGACTATTATAACAACTTGATTTTCAGCATGTCTTGCTGCATCCAAACAGTAATCAAAATCAAAGGTCATACAAAATACTGACTGTTGGACTATTTAGAACATGTACAAGTTTGTGAGTAAATTTGAGTCTCATAAATTACTTGTTACTGTATTGCTTTTAACTTTAAGATAGTAAAAATTACAAGGTGGTCTTAAACTTTTGTTAATGACTGTATTTTGTTTATGTGTATGCATACAAGAAAACTGATAATACATAGCTTTTTAATATAAGGTAATAGACATAAATGTATCCATAGAAAGGGTTTGACAAATGATGTGTCAACAGTGAACTGATTGTTTAGATTTAGCTTTGTAAACTAATATAAGAATTATTATTATCAATCACCTGAAATAACTAACCAGGGAAAGAAAACTCAATCACCTTTAGCTTTGTAAACTAATATAAGAATTATTATTATCAATCACCTGAAATAACTAACCAGGGAAAGAAAACTCAATCACCTTTTTGTAAGATTCCGGGCAATTGTGAGTTGCATAATGAATATGATCTCTGCTGCAAAAAAGAAGAAAAAATCTTTCATAAAATTCAAATTTGCTTTTAATATTCTTTTCAAGACAGAAATGTTTAAGTCTACATCACATGGTTTTTATAATTCGTTTGAATTCTTTAGCAACCAATTTACATTTATTCTAGTTTTATGCATTATTTAACATTGTGCAATAGGATTTTATTTATAAAACATCATACATTGTATTGTAAAAGCATTAGAGGATTGAAAAAAAAAAAAAAAAAAATCAAGACAAAATTTTAATTTATCATTTTCTTATGTACAGATATAGTGCTTTAAATACAGGAAACTTATCAAGTCTGGTATTGCCAATTTCATCAACAATGGCAGCATAAAAATACTAAATTTAAATTTTCTAATATCAAATTTATTGAAAGAAATAAAAAAATAATGAAATAAAAATATCTGAGAGATTCATTTTGAAAAAAGGGCAACATTTGCATGCACATAAAAGATTTTACATTTTGTTCAATTTCATAAAATGTTATGAAAGAAAAAATTTAAAATTTGTAATTGTTAGATTATTGTTAATATTTTTTACGTACTTTGTCTTATTCAATATATTTAGTTATGTGGTACAAATTAAAGCCATAATTTCACAATCCGTACAATTTAAAAGTCAAGAGTATAATTAAAAAAAATCTGAAAATGTTCCATATCAAAAAGTTTTAGCATTTCAGAAATAAATATTTATAAATGTGCACATCAAAAACTAAATGAACAGTAAAAATCAAATTTAATCATCTGATGAAAGTAATAGTGACTATAGACATTTGATATAATTGATTTTAACATCAGTAAAAATTTCGGATTCCAAATATACTGAATTACCTCCCTTAGATTTTTTTTTTTTTTTTTAAAAACTGATCATTTTTAAACATTTGTCTTGAAGTGGTTGGTACAAGCCCAAAATTATTTCACTTCTATATGAAGGAAAAGTTTCCAAACAGTTTCAACAAGGGAATTTTATTTTCTCCTGTGAGCAGAATGGCTTTAAATATTAAATTTTTTTTAATGATGATTAACTAGCTGTTGTAGATAATTACATTGTATTTCAAAAATTCAAAGTCAAGTTCAACCTTTATTTTCATTATTTTTGCTTTACAAATTCTATTCCACTTTATTATTTAAGAAATCCAGAATGCTGAAATAGTTTCAGACATTTTCAATCTATTACTTCAATCTATTCAGACTTGTCTTCATCTTATTTGGTCATTGTCACAACATTCTGATAACTGTATAATTTAAAAAAAAAAAAAAAAAAAAAATCTCATCGCAGAGCTTCAAATTTACATTTTTTTAAAAGTCTTGAGCATCTCGTTAAACATCTGATTATTTGATATTTCAAAAACATGAAAAATTTTCAAGCTTAATTTTACTAACAGAGCAATCAAAACCAAAATTAATTCTTCCAGGTTTTGTAGCAAAAGGGGAATGTGGAACTTACCAGAACACTTGGGAACATGCATCACATTTCATTGGTAAAAAATCTGAAATGATAAGTTTAATCTGTCAGCAATAACTAAACAAATAATTATCTAAGAATAATATATTGGAGTTAGTGGGTTCATTCTAGTTTTTAGAGCGGCTTTATCAGGTTAACAGTATTTGAATATGGACAAAGGCTTTTTTGCTCAAAATTCCAAACTTTAGTATTTGTAAATAATTAGCATAAAATTATCAAACCTTTATATTCAAAATAGAATGTATGATATGTAAGTAACAAGTATTCTCAATTCATCAAATTACAAACTTGCACTTTAGTGTTATTCAAAGCAAACATGTCATCACTGAGATCCATTACAAAAAAAAAAAGAAAAAAAAAAAAGAAAAAAAAGGCATCATTCACTTGACCAACTGAGTTAACTGATGATAGACAATTTTTTCTTAATCATTTCACTAAAAGCAAGGTAATAAAACCACTAAGATGCAACAGGTTACCGGGGGGGGGGCATACTTTTGAAGGAACTGGAAACCTAATCCTAAACAGGAAGCAACTGAATTTCCTTATAAACCTGATATAGCTAACATTTCTGGAAGACTCCATACCCAGCCATTGTTTGAAACTGGCATTACATCAAAATCCAATTTGAAGACAAATGTTGATTCCATTTGTGCAATAACATCTGAAAAAGGGTCATTAGAAGTAATATTTCTACTTTTTGTTGGAGCTAAAAACTATCACAGCACTGAATGGAGATGCAAGATCAATGACTTGGTCAATGTAAAAGTTGGAGTCCTCATATACTGCAACTCACTAGCCTGGATGCTCATAACTGAAAATCACCTGAGATAGTTCTTCATCACAACGGTTATTTTTTTTTTTTTTTAAATACTCAGAATCACAGAGTGCCTTTTCTTCTTTCATTTGTCTTAGAGATACAAATGAATCACGTGATTTTCTTGTCAGTAGTTGTAAAGAGCAGCTTCCAGTTGAGATTTACTTCCACTGGTGTTGATCTTGATACCTAAAAGAACCTTCAGATATCTAAGTTGATATTTCAGTGCTTCCAAACCACTCCTTGTTGTACATCTTAAATAGACTTCATAGGACCACCATACTTGATGACAGAGTTAATGATTCCTTATTTCTCAGCAGCAGCATGAAACTCCCCCACCCCCTTTGCCTCGCATTTTTAGCAATCCTTTCCTGTACATGAAGTTTCAGAAGTATATTTTGTGTTGGTTGTAGATGTTTTGCATGCTTTCATGAAATTCCAAGAAATGATTACCACTCAGTTGATTTTGTTTCCAGCCAAGATGTAGTCTGGTTGCACTTTAATATATTTGAGCTTGATTGATGGTAAAGTGATGCACTTTTTTTTTTTATCAGTTCTACCCTACAACTTGGAGCATTGTTAGCGAGAAATTTTTTTTACACTTACATAAAAGAAAAATGCCAGTGTTACTCAAGTAAAAAAAGTATATTCAAATTCAAGAGAACATACTAAAAAGTTCATAAACCTAACCAATATCTTAAATCATTTTGAGAGTTGTTAATTGTATAATTTAAAATATTTTCTTTCACAAATGACACAAAAAAATCTACATTGAATATCTTTTCTTAAAAAAAGTGTACTTTTAATTTTTCATTGCATTTTAAAAAAATCCTCCAATAATACCATTTTCGAGTGTTAACATTAAAAGGCTACTGTGGTTGTGACAGATCCTGGTTTACCATGTATAATTAAACATTTTTACTATGTTTTAAGCAAAAAATAAATATTTTTATAAAATCCAGTCACTTCTTTAATTTTACTAACTTGAAACAAAAGACAAATACTGTATTTTAAAAGAAACTTAAATTTGTTATTTTCATTAGTTATCAAGGATGGAGAATTAGCGAGTGTGGCAAGGTTTTAAAATGTCTTAAAGTTAAAAACTATTTAAAGTTTTCTTTAGTAAGTTCTAGTGATAGGATGATACCAATATTTTTTACCAATTCTGATACAATTCCCAATATTCTAAATTTTTACAATGATTAAGATTCACTTTCAGGCTCTAGTTGGTTTTGGAAACTTAATGAACAAAGTATATTTATTAATAAAAAATTTAGTAGAAAAATGAACATAAAAGCTTATGAAATAAAGTTAGATATCTTTTTTTTATTTAAAAAATTGGGTAAGAGTTTAAATGATAAAGAGAACAATTTCTTTAAATCACTTGAGTACTTAGCTACAGTTGACATATTGCTTTTACTTTGGTTATCATCAGAAATCTTAATCTTCCAAACTACACTTTTCTGCTTGCCATTGGATATACTTGACATAATTGATGTGTGAAAAATTAAAATTTTTCACTGTTAGATAAAAAAGGTTTCTAGTTTTCTAATGTGTATAATTTGTAAAGATTCAACTAATGGTCTGCTGTTAATTGTAAAATAAAAAGGGTCTATTTTTTTTGTTCACCTTAAGTTTTAATAAGCAAAGGCACCCTCTAAATATTATGCAATTGCCTTAAAATTTTATATGTGGCAATAATAATCTAAGCAGAAAGGCATCCTATGTATTGTGGCTTAACTCATGCATATATTTTGCTGAAGTATAATGAGTACATAATCTTGCAGAACATTGAATAAAATGCAAATTTTAAATTTGCTGACAGACATCTAATAATTAAATGAATTATCACAGTAGCTTAAAATAAAAGGTCTTCAATCTTATCTAAAAAAATTAATCACTAATAAGTTTTACTTTCTAAAATAATTTTCAAAACTAAAAAATTTAATAGTTTCTAAAAAGAATCAAGCATTTTTAGCAAACCACAATAAATTTTTTAAAATATTAGGAAGTCGAAATCTAAATAACATTGATATAAGGCTGATATCCAATTTGATTATTTTATAAGGAATGAGATGCTCAACTGTTACAAAGCATTAAAATAAAAATAAAATTAAAAATGATTAAAATCTTCATTAGAATGAGAAGAGCTGTAAATATGTATTTTTGCATGCGTTTGATTTTGTCAGTTATTTATTAGATGAAGTTTTATTTTAAAAATATTAAAACAAATTATGTTAAAAGTGAAAAAAAAAACAAAACAAAAAAACTATAGCATAATTACACCAGATAAAAATGGGATGGAAATACTCATTTTTAATCTTTTTCTTTTTTTAATACACACATTTCTATTTATAAAACATGCATCTCGTTTAGCTCTGAGAATGAATAAAAAAAAAAAAAAAAAAAAAAAAAAGGTAATATTTTAAATGCCATAATATAACACAGGAACGTTCAATTATGCCAAAGAAAAATATTCATAAAATAAAAATAAAATTAAATACAATTTTTCATGGAAATTAAATTTTAGTTTTCTTAATACAAACTTTTGTATGGAAAAACTATTTTTCAGGAAACTTATTTTTAATTAAATAAAAAGATGAAAATCAGTTTTGAAAGCTATAAAATTTTAATAAATACATGAATTTTGTAGAAACAAATTCAAGTTTCATAAAAAGAATGTTACTTTTTTTTAAAGTTTTGGTTATTAAAAAGATAAATTTGTTTACATAGTATGCTACATAAACACAAATCTTTTCAATAACCAAAACTAAAAAAAGATTTTATGGATTAAAACTATTATAAAAACAAATTGCTGTAATTTAACTGCCTCACCATGTGTGACAAGGTTAATTTTCTTTATTTGGTGGGTATTTCACACATTCATTTTTTTTTTTTTTTTTTTTTATATATATATAAATTAAAAATCCAAAATTGTTATAAAAGACAGCCTGGCAGAACAATGTTAATTCATTTTGTGAATATATTACATAATTTTGATTATAATTATTAGATTAATTATTTATAATATTAAATGGGTGAATTAACAATGTTTAAAAAGAAATTAAAAATAAAAATTTTATTTTGAGCTGAAAGACTTTAAACTAGCAAACATTATGGAAAGTTCAAGAACTTGCTCCCCAACACACTCAGAAGTAAAATAAATTTACATCAAGATTTTAGTTTTACTGATACAATAAATATTTATATCTAGGTACCTCCACTTTTTCATTAATAAATGTTTTACTATTCTATTTTTAAAATAATTTTTTATTTATTTTTTTACTTAATGCATTACCTTTTTTCATCTATAGAAGGCTAAATGTGACATTATTTATGAAAAGGTTGTCCCTTTACAGAGAAATTAATTTAAGCAAATTTTATAGTATTTTAAATTATTTTTGTTTTTGCATAAGGCATCTTTGAAAGGTAAATAAAAGTCAAAATATTAGATAATTGTGGAAGTCATTACTAGGTAGTAAAAAAAAAAAAAAAAAAAAAAAAAAAAAAAGTGTTCACTTAGATTTCATAAATTTATGTCAGTTCTTGTCATTTATAAAACCTGTTATCACCTTGAAATCTTACAGATACTCAATAAAAGATCAAAGAAAGATAGGACCCATTGTTAAGAAATGATTGTATATTACTTTTTTTTAGGCTATAATAATTATTTCAAATCAGATTAATTTAATTTTAAATTTTACTCAAATAACGAGTAAGAAATATTTTTTGGAAGAATTTTAAAACCGATAAATTTATTTTGTTTAAAAATTTCTTAAAATTAAGAAAGTGTCCGCTTTTAAGAAAATTTTAAGAAATTGAACAAATATTTGACATTCCAATCTATATAATTCCTATTTGAAATACAGCAGAATATTTTACTTACTGGAAATAATAAATTTAATCCTTAGCTATCAATTAAAGCTAAAATGAAATCTTCAATAATGCTTTTTCATTTTTAAAAATTCATTTTAAACCTTAGGTATTGAAAATTTATGCTGAAAAGTGAAGGCACCAATTTATATCTTTTTATCATTAGTACCAGGAATGGAAAATTAAGTTATAAAAAAAAAAAAAAAAAAAAAAAAATCAAAAGAAACGTTTTTGGAATTGGAAATTAGGTTAAAAATTCCGATTCCAATACCCACAAAAGTTCCAATATTTCCAATTCTCAATTCTGATTAATTGTCCTAGTAAGTTTGTAGTGATACTGTCTTTATAAATAGATATCTCCAAAGATTTGCTAAAAAGTGAGCATACCTGATGAAAAAATGCCCCAAACTTAAAAATAAAATTTTATTGTCAAAGTTTTTGCTATTAAGAGGAATGACCGAAAGGATTTGATTAATTTTTTTAAATCAATTTTAGAACCACCAAAATTTTAGTTAAAAATTGTTTTTCTTGCATCAGCAGGTGACTATAGATTATGGGAAATTTTAGCATCTTTTTGTGAAAAACACATTGATTTGGAAATACTTACAAAAAAAAAAAAAAAAAAAAAAAAAAATCAAATAGTCTGATTTTAATGAAACTTTCATGACTTCTTCATAAATGAATGAGATTGTACATTTTCTTTTTATAAAATCTCAGTAAATATATATTTTACATCTATTGTTTAATTTTATGAAATTGAGAAATTAATTTCTTAGCATTTTATGTTTATATCAATTATGAACAAGTTATAGGAGAATTTAAATCATTTTTTTAAAAAAAGAACCCCCACAACTTACAGAAAAATGGCTCTGAATTGTAAAATAAAAATACAATAAAACTAACATTAATTAAAAAGCTCTTAATTGCTTTTTATGAATAAGATATTATGAACACTATTGTCATAAAATTTTTAATGAATAATGAATTTTTACAAGAATTGTTTATTTTTTTATGATCATGTCAAGTGATTATTTCAATAAATTTAGTAAATAAAATATGAAAATAACATTCCTCACAACTAAATTCATGCCAATGGGGGTGGTAATTACTGGTTAAATCTTTGGAATCATATCAAGTAGCTAAAAATTCCTTCCTTGTTTTCAAATTTGAGGTGCTAATTAATTAATACTAACAAGCTACAATAATAGTCTTGTAAAGTAAATAAGACAGCTATTTAAATCAAAGCTTAGGCTGATCCGGTGAGAGTAATAAATATCTCCAAACATGAGTGCAAAGGAGGAGGAGAAGGAGTAAGAAGGATGAAGGTTATAAAAAGTGGACACATAATTCCTGAAGAATGTAACCTTGACAAAACAGGACAGTATGTTTATCCCCAGAACAATAAACAACAATAATTGGTCAAATAGACACTCAATATTTTCTTTGTCTCCTCTCACCAGTGATTTATAAGTTTAACTGATCAGATATGACAAGTGTTTATTGTTATAGAAAGGGTTAGAAAAAACCCAAAAAAAATAAACAATTGATCTTCATGAAAAGCATGAAATTTCAATATTTATAAAGCGCACAACAGGCAAAGCTGATTCAATTTAATTTCAGCAGTAGAAATTAAAAACATTAATGAGATTTTTTTTTCACTTTTTTAAAAACCAGGCTAACTTAATTTTTTCTTTTTTTATACTCATAAAATCTCATATTCTGAACCTTGTATTGTTTTGAAAAATCAATATATACAACAAAAGTATAAAACAATTGTATGATGGAACAATTATGGAAGGCAAGAATTATTCTCAACCTATATGAACGAATGTATTTGAAAGCCAAATATCCACGGAAGTCAAAGAAAATATTGCAGTTTGGATATCTAACTTTACATGGAGCAGCAGAGTCAGAAAATAAAGCTACTTAAAGAGAAAAAATTATGCAGAAATCATTTGAAACTTAAAATACACAAAACATTTTTTTTTTTATCAAAACGGATTAAAAGAAACATTCAACACAAAATACACAAATTTGTTAAAAAAAAACAAAAAAAAAAACACCACTAATCTTAGAATTGGTAACACTCAGTTCCTTTTAACATCACATTTTGTATGAAGTATACATCTTTCTTGAATAGGCTATGTTCATTATTTACAAATAAAATTTAAGTACTGATGTAAGATGTGAACTCAATTTTTTTTTTTTGAAAACCTAATTTAACCCAAGCAAGGCAGTAAAGCCACAAGGGGTTACTGGGTGTGAAAGAATTAGAAAACAGAAAATATAAAAGAGTGAGAACAATAGAAGAGTAATCAGAACAGTAGATAACAATTAACATTGCATTTAAATTTTTTAAGATCAAATTTGGCTGGAAAGCATGGAGCTGGAAGAGTTCCACAAGAGAGAAGTGTGAGAAAAGAAACAACATAGAACATATGGTTACATCTAGCCAAAGCATTAAAGTTAACAACCCATTCTTTGCCCCAGTTAACCGACTGTATGTCATTTGAGATCAGCTGTCAATTTGACCTTATCAAACTGATCAGACTTAATATCAAGACAGGGGTGTGTCATCAGCATAAATACCAAGTTGAGAGCTGAGGTCAGCAGGAAGGTCGTTAATGTAAATTAGACAAAGTGGAACCAAGGATAGAGCCCTGGAGGACACTTCACTAGTAAAGAAGAAACTAGAAGAGTGGCTGTTCAGGAGAACTTTCATTTCACAATTTGATAAGAAAGACTGAAACAGTTCAAAAATTTATCTGAAGACACCATAACTTTTCAACTTGTGAAGACCATATCGACCACTTTTGAGATGCCCAAAGCAACAAAATAATTATTTTAGTTACATGTTTTTTTTTTTTTTTTTTAATCAAAATAAACTTTTCTAATTTTAAAAATCTATCAAATCTTTTTAGCATTTACAAGTCACAATCGATTTTTAATGTTAAAATTCATTTTAAAAAGGTGAATGTTACAGGTGTAAATTTATTGTTCAAGAATATTTTGTGAGATTTTAAGCTATAAATGAAATGGAGTTTGGTTGTTAACACATTTAAGTTTTAACCAAAGGAATAAATTAAAAAATATATCTGGTTCCTTAAGTGCTGTGCTTAATCATAAAAGAATAGCCATCTTTTCACCCACCATTATATATTAATTATAGTTCTATTTTAAACAGATAGTTGAGTAGATAATCAGCTAAATATCTGCCTTCAGTCAGTTACTTAAAAAAGAAAAAAAGTGCAGTTTCATTATTGTAAACCTCTGGCACATTTTCTAATAAAACCCTCTCTGTGTGAAAGAACAACAGTTTTTTTTATACAGTTTTTTGTTAATCACTTTATCAATAAATAATTATCTATGGTGTGCCTAAGACTTCTTTCTCACACTGCTAAACAGTAATTCTGTCATCAATACCAAAAGTTCCATTAGTCATTCAGTAAGACAAAATTTTTATTAAATTTAGAACAATTTCTACTGTCAGTATTTTTAGCCAATTGTTTTGATTTGTTTTTATTTTCAACAGCAATATTTTTTTTTATATATATGTAAATTTTAAAATTAAGAGAAAATTATTTTTAGGTGTGTTAATTCAAAACAAGGGTCAACTGGGTACTCTGCTGTAAATCGTACACACAACGCAAAATAAAATATTTTTAAAACTTAAATTGAGTCTAAAAATCCATTTAAAAATTCGACTTCAACAATAGCTGTAAAAATAGATTTTCCAATTTTCAGCTAAAAGATTAAATTGATTAAAATGTTTTTTTTTTTTTTTCACAAATACTGATTTATCGCCATTTACAATATTTTCATTTTTAGGTAGATTTTTTTTCGTTTTTCAGATTTTGAGAAGATATTGAATAAATTGTATTTTCTACTTTCGGAAAAGAATAGCTGACATAATATTGCATTTATGTCTAAATGCAATAATGCAAGGGAGATAAATCAGAATTTATGTAAAAATTGTTTGAAGCGCTAAAACTGACAAGAAAATTAATTTTTACAACAGAAAATGATTTATTCTAAAATACAACAGTAAGCTACTTTATTAGTATACAAATAAAAAATGTTTTTAAAGTAAAAAATTCAAACATGATGATTAATCATTTTTTCTTAAATCATGTGACAAAAATGTTTTTAAACTAAACACGAAATAAAAAAATGGTGTCAAAACAACTCAATGTCACGATGTTGGCGCTTCAAAATAACGAGTTTCAATTCTAACAGCAGGAAAACAAACGTGGACTTTATAACGCCTCTTCTTACGTTACTCAGAACTACTGAGTAACTAGTCAGTTTTTAAGTGTTACGCGAGATACACACTTATTATGTGTGACTCGCAATAGGTTGCCGTTTCTTTCTGCACTACAGAACCCAGTCTGTCCTGCTATTCAAGCTGGGAGAGCGGAGATGGATTCATGCCTTTCCCACCAAGGGTATTTTTTTTCACGTAAGTGAAAGTAACGAACCCGATTGGAATGTGAACTTGGCTCTCCGATTTGTCATTCTGAGCCGTTATCCATTACACCACACCGCATATTCAACTTAACTAGAGTTTTTTTTTTGTTTACTTTAAAGTTTAAACTTAAACATAAAAATCTTACGGGTAAATGAAGGGTATTCACAATTCAGCGTTACTTAATTTTACAAAAATGAGTTCTCCTTGTAGTTTTGTTTTTTTGTATTGAGGAAAAAAAAAAGGAATATTTACTGTCAGACATTTTAGGTACGACATGGTTATACAAAAATTCTAACAAACAACAAATAATAGCTTGTTCAAATGTAGAATGTCATTGTCAACGTAACGTAGTAGTTAGTAGTGTCAGGCACATCTTTCAAAAATGGTCTGCTGACAAAAATTTTTTTTTTTTTTTTTTTTACTTTTAATCTAATATCTGATTAAAATGTGATAAGAGATCATTATTTTTGTTATAGACATTTGAATTTATTCAATACACAATGAAGGTATGTTGAAAGTTTTTCTTTTAGGTACACATAGGTACTGTACGGGATTTAATAATATCAATTTATTAATTATTGAATTAAAAATTTTTATGAAGAAATGTAGAGTTCCAGGTGAAGAAACAAATTTAGAGGTTATCTTTAATTTTTTTTTAAATTTGTCATTTTTATTAAGAAAAAATTGTAAGATTTTTTAGCGTTTATTACACAAACAAAATAAATAAATACTTACCTAACATATTGCAGGACTTGTCGCCGCAGTTGGCACCTATATGTGGAAACTCCATTCTTTATTGTTTAAATACTGGACGTCTTTTGTCTTTTTTTATTATTAAGATTCAAACCTGAGTGAAGAACACAATTCTTTTAGAGATGAGGAAAAAAAAAAAATGACAAATATAGTGGCCTCTCTAAGAGTTTATAAAATGATACGTCACTTCCTGTCACGACGCGACTACTTCCTTTATATGTTTGGCGGTGCTGGGTTATAAACAAAAGTCTAAAGTTTTCGATGCTAGTGTTTTTCATTTTTGTTTTAAAGTTTGATAAGGTTCTCCATACACTACAGTTTATCAAGTTTCAATTGAATCTTTTTCTGGCAGAAAATGCCCAAATGTGTACGATTGTACCAACTTAGGCAGCCTTGCACGTTCTAAGTTGCCATTCTGTGCTTTTGGTCGAGGTATACGTTGTTAGTCACATTATTTTGTTTAAAGAGTTTATTTATGTGAACTTACGAATTTTGAATTATTGCCATTTACATCCTTTATTAATAATAAGTGCACAAAGAAAAAGAAAAGGTTTTCAAAATGAGTGACTGAACTTTCAATTTTTGCTTAAAATGACAATGAAAAAACGGCTACTGAGCTGTAGAACTTCACTTCAGAATATTCCCTTTCCTTTCATCATCTAAGATGTGATGAGAAATTAATTTACTTACTATGTCAAAGGAAATAAATGTGGCCAAGATAATAGGGATACTTGAATTTTTGATTTACCTTTGGGGCCAGAGGCCGTCCCAGAAAGAAATCTTGTATTTTTTTTTTTTTTTTTTTTTTAACTAACCATGAAAAAAAAAAAAATGTGCATTAACAGGATTTCCCAAGTTAATAGTTCTGCACTTAAAAAAATTTTCTATGAATTTGGCGTTTTGCCAGATTTAGCTAAAAAAACAAAATTATTCAAATGTACATTTTTTTTAGTAGTAGTCTCAGCACGTAAGCGGATATAGACAGCTATGTGAAAAAAGTTTTGGCTTTCTATCCAAAATGCCAGACTCGCTTTCTTTTTCAAGTTTTATGAAAGAAAAGAATCTATTCTTTCAGCTTTCATTTTTCCAATAACTAGAACTGCGATTAATTTATTTGCTAAGTGTTTAATTTTTTTAAAAATTCTTAAAAAAAAGTGCCAAAAATAAAATTATAAAAAATTCCAGATTGAGTAACGTGACAAATTAAGTCTTAAAGTTACCAAACCAAAATAATGATTACATTGCACATAACGTTAATGAATGAGATATTTAATCTGACAAACAAGTGTTTGAGAGATGTAGGCTAGTGGTTAAAGTAGAGGACTGAAATGAGAGGTTCTTAATTTTTAAATCTTGTTGATATGATCAAACAAAACACTAAAGTAAAACATGACGGCTAGAATAAATTAAACTGTTTTTTATGAATTAGTCTAACTAAAAAGATTTACTTTTTCAAAACGATGAATGTCAGTAACGAGAAATAAATATGCAACAGTTTTCCTTAATTTAAATAAGAAAAAGGAAAAAGTTCACCTGAAAAACAAGTTACTGTTCTCTTTTCTTATTGCACTCACTTTTTTTTTACGGTGTTCCAGGTTTCTCAAAGTAAAACTGAAATAAGTATAAATTTATAAATTAAAATCTTACCTGATAGTGTCGTAAATAAAAAAAAAAAAAATCTTAAGTTTTGATTATTCAAAAGAAAAAAGTGTCGAACACAAGCTATACTTACTTTTTTCCTCTTTAAAAAAAATAACCAGTCGTTTGTGTAGAAATGACAGTCAACGATTTGCCTAGAGAATTAAAACGGGATTTACATTGACTTACTTATATATAATTAATAGAATGAATCAGCAAATTTTTCCCCACTTCCTATTTCTCGTCTTAATTTAGCTAGCTAGCTCTAGAATAATTCGTAATATTCTCGGCTACATTTCCCATGAAAAATGTCAGTGACGTGCGTGATTAAATTTGAAAGTCGAAAGAAAACAAAAGTGCAAAAAACGGGAGCAATGAACGAGAGGATCGTGTTTAGTTTACTACAGTACACAAAACAAAAATAATTGGTCGATTTTCCGTGTTGCAGACTGGAACATTCTCGCTTAATCCACAACCTTCGAGCAGATTTCTAATTTCGTCTATTACGAAATGTTTTCAATCATTTACACATGACACTTTTTTTATGGGCACGCTCGCACACACAGCTTTAAAAGCGCCTACATTAAACTAAAAAACATGCCATAGACAAAAAGAAAAAGAAAGAAAAACATGACAATCATTAAAAACAATTAACTTAAGTAAATAAAGAAATAAAATGTTTATTTTCTTTCTCCACTTTTGGTTAGTTCGTTTATTTTATTTGCCATATTTCATTTATGGAAATGCCTAAAAATACTTTCGTAATAAACTTTTTTTTAAGTAGAAAAAACCCCCAAAAAAACACAACAATCGTGAAAAAAAAAAAAAAAAAAGCAAAAAACTAACTAAGCAATAAATAAATTTAAAACAAAAAAAATACGTGAGAATTAAAAATTGGTTTCAATTCGTTTCCCTCCAAGCAAGGTGACAATGCCACGAGAATGCAGGTGAAAGAGAATGAGAAAACCCCCTGGGGAGGATTGAAGAAAAGATTTTAAAAAAACAACAAAAAAAAAACAGGGTTCAAGAAGACAGCAGATGGCGATTGATGTTGCATTTAAAATTTTTGAAGATTGTAGTTATCAAGGCAGTAAGAAATTGGAAGGGGATTCTAAGGTGAGAAGTTCGAGAATGGAAAGTGTTAAAGTGGCGGTTGCATCTCTAGCTAGTTCCAGTAAAACGGTGAGACCTAGTTGCCAATCTAGTAATAATACGCTTAAAATCATGTAGTCGAGGCACCAGGACAAGAAAGCTCATCAGAATAGTTGCCATGAAAAGACAGAAGGAAGCCATGTTACGTCGGTGAGAAAATGACTGGTCCAGATGCTTCGCTAGGATCGATTGCATTAAAATGACCCTTTGAATTCTGTACAGGAGGAGCACCAGACCAGACCAAACCACACATGGCGACAGTATTCAATGCACGAACGAATAGAAGGTTTATAAATATGCAAGATGGATTCTGAAAAGAAAAAAATTCTTGTATGCTGATGGTAGATAGAAAAAACTTCTCTATGGTGATTAAATGAAAGCAGTTTTGTTTTGGAGACGTTAAAATTTACAAGCCACTTCTTGCAACAGTTAACTGTTAACTACTGACTGGAGGTCCTTTTCAATAGCAGCTGCTACGTTTTACTTTGTTGAGCTTTATCTTGCTATTCGGATTAGCATTTTCATATTATAGTTATACTCACAGCGTTTTAGCCGTTGTACTATCCGGTTTTGTTAAGGCGTCTGTTGTACATGGTAACATTGGAATGTTGAATCTAATTATCAGATTTCATTTAAATTTCCAAATATTGAGATTTATTGTAAAAGGCCGAAAAGGGGGAATGGGTTGAGGCTGGTCTTCACTAACTATCTTATACCTAGCTAATCGGATTCAGGGCCCATTCACTCGTTACAATTTCCTCATTCACCATAAAAACTCATCCGTCGCCAATCAATCCTCCATACACCATAATACTACATCCTCTCCGGGGGGGGCTATAAAAAGAAGAAAATATTCCAATGAGATGATAAATATTATTTACAATATATGTATACAAATCGGATGAATGATCATGAAAGGGGAGGGGTGAACCCCAAAACAAACTAAATATAAAAAACAAACTAAATATCAAAACAAAGCAAAAATAAACATAACTGATGTTAGTAGGACCCGTCCAACCCTTCGAAAAAGACAAGTCTCTGTATTCTACCCTTGGACAACATTAAGAGGCTCTCTCGTTAAGGGAGAGGGAAAAGAGAAAATATAGACGGGCATGAAGAATCAATAAAGCTGACCTAGTCGAAATGAAAAAGTGGGGGGACAAACTGGGGAGGTTGGGAATATCAACTTGGATCATAACCAAAAATGTAGCCGGGAGCAGGCCAGGAACAACACTTACTCACATTAACTAGGTACACAAAAGTTTGTCTAGCCTAACCAGGGGAGGGCTCCACAGGAAACCACCCCGATGTGATATAGGTTAACCTAAAAGAGAAAATCAAGGCTAGCCCCGTTCAAATGAACCAAGCTCACCTCCGTTACCCACCTTTCACTAAAGGCTGTCGAATGCAAGTTTTTTCTATCAGTTCTAATCTTCATCTTGAGCTGATGCTCAAAGAATCGGATCAGATCCTGATGAGAAAGACGGTCACCTCGCACGACTTCCTCCAGTCGCGTCGTCCAAATCACCATTCGGGCCGTGGCCAGCAGCGTTAGAAACACCATACGTTTTACCCCAGAATACGGGGGCGACACATTGTCACACGCGTATGCACGATCAATGAGCAAATTCTCAAGAACAAAGAAAATGCATACACTTCTTACATCATGTTTGTTGTGCGGGGTATGAAACATCGACCTCATTTAAAAAGTGAATGAAACATAACATAAATATATGAAAAGTTCAAATAAAACTCAAAAGTCTTACATGTATATATATATATATATATATATATATATATTTTATATTCGAAATTCTTAATACAAAGTTAGCGTGTATCTACTTTTAATAGACTAAGTACCAAAAACAATATGAATTTTTTGTACATTTTTTGTTTTGTCACGAGTCTGAAATGCATGCGTTTTGATGCCTTAACTCTCCAGGAGTAAAAGAGAGAGATTAACTTTTCCCGCCTAACGATGTTTCGTGCGTGTCACGTGACTGTTTTTTATTCCCGTGAATATTTATAATTAATTTTTATCGCTATTTTTGTTTGGGCCAAAGGGAGATAACTTTTTGTCTATGGTTACATATTTAGGTTTTATTATAATTCTAATGATCGCTTTTTAAAACAATAAACTTTACCGAAAAGTGAAGGTAGTTAAAAGAGCAGCATCACTGGAAAAACAGCCCTCTTAACACTCTTGCTTGATTTATTTTCAGGCATGAAGGTACAAGTTTGCCAAAA